TTGGTTTATGATAATGTATGGCAGATAGCAGGGCTCACAGCAGCAACAGCCCATGAGCTGATTCTTTGGGGTGTTGAATGAATGAGAGAGCAAACAGAACGGAGAGACCAGCTCTTCCACCAGAGGAACCCTCAGGTGGCCAGACCTAATTGTCCTGACAACTGCAGCACTGGTGCCTGTGTTTACAGTTTTTCCTGCTGCAGATCCTGTCCTCAAACCGTTTGTAAAGGGGTCTGTAAATGAGGGATACAAAGCGGATAATAATGAAATCTTCAAACATTATGCCTCTTCTGACAAGACTTGTCTGGCAGACTGTGAGGTGCTGATAGCTGGGAGGCCTTTTGTGTTGCTGTTGGTGGTCCCTCTCTCCAGAAACTTGATTGTAATACTTGTGTAGTTTCACACACATCACAGTGGTTAAAAACTCAAGCTCTTTATATTTAAAAACACGTATATACAAGTATTGACCCCCACACACACACAATTATTGAGTGCACCAAGGAGTACTTGCAAAGGATCCTAACTTATTGTATTTTGGGAATAGCAGGGATAAATAACTTTGTGACATAACAAATTTGATATAATAATCACATTGAATCTATTATGAAATGAAGCTAACATGTTAGAATTTAATTCTTCCAATAGCAATTAGTTAGTTATTCGTGCAATGTAAACCTATATAAAAGGTGCACTCGTACTTGAAGTCTCACAGGGTCAGAATAACACCTGTCGCCTGTTCAAGCAGGGAGAAGACTAGGCAATGAGGTTTGCAACTATTTAAAGAGTAGGTGTATTCTGATGATGGTCAGATCATGTAAGAATGACTCATCTTAATTTGGGGAATTAAATTCTGACAATGTTTGACTTATGCACAAGGCAAGGTCATGTAATTATAAGTTCAAACCATACTAAAGTAAAATGACTATAATTTCAAAATTACAGTGTGCCCACAGTGGCTAAATTTAGTACTCACGACCAAATCCAGCCTCGATTTTGTTGGAATTATTTTGTTTTTAATTTTTTTTAAACAATGGAATGACTTATCTTAAGGTGCTTTTCTTAAAATCTCTTTTTAAGATGTTTTTATGCACAGTTTATTAATATCTAGTCAAAAAAGTTAGCGGTTCAAGATCCAAGTTGGGATTTGTGAAACTCACAGTTTGCATTCCACTGCTATATTGATGCAGATCCTAAGAAAGAGAAAATAATCCTAACATTAGATACATTGCCTTATCGGGTTGTCAGAGAATTTTGAAGTGCTTCATAGGATTTTACTGTAAAGTTTAATGACTGAATTCTGGAGTGGGAGTCATAGACGACCTAGAAATAGGCCATTTCTACCCATCAATTTTGCACTAGTATGTTTCTCCGTATAAACCACCTAATTTAATCTTACTGTCCTGCTCACTTCCACGCCCTTTAATATTTATTCTCTTCAGAAATGGGAGAAAGAATAGAGGAGTATGAGAGAGGGGATTAGGAGGGGTGAAGGATCATGCTAGTTGGGCTAAATGGCGTGATTCCATGCTGATCCGTTCTATGTAATTATTTAATAGCAGTCAAAGGAGTGGCCTGTTTTTCCCTTAGAGGAAAGTTCCATTGGTGATTTGGGGATGTTGGTTACCACTGGTCTCCAAATACAAAAATAAAACAGACTTAACAAAGGCTTTGATAGTGAGTTGCCCTAACTGCTAAGGTGCCAACAGCTGAGGTTCAACTGGACACCAACTCTAGCAATGACAAAATATGTTCTAGTTCGTGGCATTCAGTCAAGCATTGTCTGTCTCAAAAATCCTATTTTGTCACAGAGATATTTGCTTCAACCCTGTCTGAAAGGAATTCATTGCAATTCAGCCAAAAGTTAAACTATGAAATTTACTGTGGTTTCAGAATTAACTATAATATAAACAAAACTCCCTGCTGGCTTAATACGGAGATGAATCATTTCACACTGCTTTAAATTGATTTATTCAGGAATTAAACCATTTTAAAAGGTGAATGAGGTTAAAATGGAGTTATTAAAGTACGATTGACTTTAAATAGGGAGGGTGTGAGGAGAAGGAGGCAGCTTTGAGATACCTACAGTAATTTCTGCCTTGAAATGCTGAGTTAATGACGATACCAATATACCAATCAGCTTATGAGTTAAGTTTGCTATGTCAAAACAGTGTGAGGCATTAATAAATGAGGCAAACAGGGTGATGGGCTATATTGCTAAAAACAGTTGAGTTTCGATCCCCAGACATTAAACTTGGGCTGTATAATCCTCTGGTCAGGCCACACTAGAGTATTCTGGAGGGATGTGATCAGATGGGTCGAAGGGCCTTCCTTGTTCATCCAAACCAATCTTGTGATATTGTGAAACATTACAATCATTTTATTGTACAGTTTAACTTCAGGAATTTCAATTGAAGTGGTGTTCCTCATTATAATATTTTGTGATGTTTACACAGTGGTAGGAATGTTGATCCCGGTGAAAGATATTTCGTTAAGTTTAGCTTTTGCATGACTGGTGCATTGTGGACAGATTAAAAGACTCTGGAGACTGCATAAAGTATAATCCGGAGCATTGGGTTAATAAACAAATCATTGGTGATAATCTCATTAAGACTGATGGAGTAGAAAGTTTACAACACCATTTGTAACATCTCCGTAACATCGCCCCTCAGCAACAACAACAAGATTGCATTTATAGAGCGCCTTTCACATCGGGAGGACGTCTCAAGGCGCTGGACAGTTGGGTTGGGACCCGAGCAGGGGGGGAAATGGTCAGGGTGAGGGGAGGGAAGGGAGGGAGCGAGGATGGGGTCGAGAGGAGAGCTGAAGGCACGGCTGAAGAGAAAGGTCTTGAGACCGGCCTTGAAGGAGGAAAGGGAGGAAGCGGCGAAGGCACTGGGGGATAGAGTTCCAGAGCCTAGAAACTGAGAGGCTGAAAGCCCGGCCACCGATGGTAGGGCGGTTGGGGCGGGGGATGTGGAGCAGACCGGAGCCAGAGGAACGGAGGGTACGGGCAGGTAAGTAGGGGGATAGTAGGTCGGAGAGGTAGGAGGGAGCGAGGCCGTGAATGGCCTTGTAGGTGAGGATGAGGATCATGCAGGTGAAACACTTGTTCATGCCTTCATCACCTCCAGGCTCGACTATGTAAACGCCCTGCTTGTCGGCCTTCCCAAATCCTCCCTCCAGATAATCCAGAACTCTGCAGCCCGTGTCCTCTCCCACACCAAACTCCGTGACCCCATCTCCCCCATTCTCGCCCGACTCCATTAGCTCCCTTATCCTTCAGAGGATCCAGTTCAAGATCCTGGTCCTCACCTACAAAGCTCTCCATGGCCTCGACCCACCCTACCTCTGTGACCTCCTAACCTCCTACCAACCCGCCCACTCCCTCCCTCCACTCAGCCGGCTCTGGCCTGCTCCACGTCCCCCGACCCACCCCCCCCACCATTGACGGGATAGCCTTCAGCCACTCTGTCCCCAATCTCTGGAATTCCATCCATCCCCCAATCACTCCGCCTCCTTCAAATCCTGCCTCAAGACCCTTCTCTTCGACCATGTCATCGGCACTCCTCGTCCCCTCCCTTCTCCCTCCCTGACCCTTGCTCGGGTCTAAAATGCTGAACACTGTCCAGCGCCTTGGGACGCTCTCCCAACATGAAAGGCGCTATAAAAAATGTAATCTTGTTGTTGTCCTATTGTGCCTGCGCTAGGTCTCCACTGGAGTTTTCGGCTCTGTGACATTCATTAAACATTTTAAAAATATTCTTGGTCAAGTGTCTGACGCATGCAGAAACCCATCACTACGTAAGAGTATCCAACCAGACTGAGGGTGCCATGAATGCCCATTACACACAGAAATTTCTGTATCCGGAATTAATCTTGAAGGAAGTCGCAGTGCAACAGTTTTCTGTGTGTGAGGTCATTGCTCTGGGTGTGGTGGTGAAAGGGTAAATATTCACATTGTAGGCGTGGACGGTTTGTTGATGATGTGGAGCAGGAACAGGATCTATCATTTCTACCTGTTAAACATTTTTGATCATTGCAATCCTGTCTCTCTGTTCATAGAATAAGAGTGACCTGCATTCTATGTTGGATACATATTAAATAGGACTCGTAGGATTCCTGTTTCACATGTATTCAAGAGTTCAATCTTTTTATTCGATAGGTTAACGTGCTGGGTGCAGCAACTAACCTGATTCCCGTGAAACTACTGGGTGGGTTCTGCTGCTTCCTTATATCTGCTTTCGGATATTGATCCATGTAGCAGTTGAAACTTTTTCCCCATGAAATTTGTTTTGGGTTTAATTACAACTTACAGTCGCTCCTGAAAAGCTTCAAGGTATATTTAAATTTATTTTTAAAAAACAATAACTGTTTACATTTATGTATGTAGCACTTTTCACGTCGGGAGGATATCACACAGCTGACTGATGGCATGAGCTGGAAGGAATGCTGAAGGGTGTATGGGGGTGGGGGGTGGGGGGGAAGAAGAGGTGGGTGGGGGAGGTATCCAGAAGCACAATGGAAAAGCTGGGTCTTGAGGTGGTTTTGAATGCTGGGATTGAGGGGCAGAGGATCTTTTAAGTGAAATTCCAGAGAGCAAGCCCACCGATGCTATGTCTCATCTGAAGGACAGCATTTTGATCAGTGGCATTAAAAGAAAGGTTTGGGGTTCTAAATCACAACTTCCGTCTAGAATTATTTATTATGGGGTGGGGCAACTAGTTATATGGGTTAGGAATAGGTTTTGAAGTTGCTGAAGCCTGCATAAGACTGGAATTATGGTAGAACCATCTTATAAGGTGCCTTATTTAAAGGGGATGCACACTGCTTACGAAATCCTGGAGACTTTTAAGTGCAGGTGGGCAAGAGGCACGGTTTGGGGACTCAAACTGTGTGTTGAGGTAGTGCTGAAGACGAACCAGTTAAAACTAAAACAGAGTATTTACAATTCAAGTCCATGCTGAGTTGAGAGCTAACTCAAGTATTCTCTTCTTCCACAGATAGCAGCAAGCTGCTGACTGACCAGCAGTCCTGTTACGGGGCAGTCCCGCACTCGCAGGCTACCCCCTTCATGGTAAGAGTCTGCAATGTCTCTGTAAATTGTTTTGTTCAGAGAATAAGAGCGATGCTAACAGATTGAATGCATCTTGGAACTTCTTGCATTAAAAGTTTTTTTTAAAAAAAGGTATGCTACTTGCGGATTCTTGGGTTTGGGCGACCTCTCATTTTCTCCCTTGAAAAGAAAACATGATTCCTCTACAGCCGCCCCACCCCCCCTACCAAAATCCTTGACTGTCAAGGTTTTGCATACACTTCTACTCTCTTCCTTCACTTCACCCTTGTTTCTCCGTTGTTTTTTGTGATTTCCTTTTACTTAGCAATATTTTTCCCCCATCCAGATTCTCCGCCAAAATTGTCAGGTTAATTGCTTACTTATCTCATTGCTTGTGGGACGTTCCTGGGGCAGATCAGCTGCCATATTTGCCTGTTGAAATTACCTCAATGTAACCTTTTTGTTAAATCTTTTCAATTATTTCAATAAAAACAGTTATATGAAGTAGAATTTTTAATAATTTATTTTTGGAAAAATATTGACTCACTGTGAAGTTGAATTTAGGAACTCAACAACAAATGATTAATTGTTCAGGTGAATGACTTGTGTGGTGCTAATGAGAATGCACTCTTCAGGCTGAGTGCATAACTTTCCCACTGGTGTTGAAATTTCAGTTTACTTTCTGTGCAGGAGGTGAAGGGATACCAGCGAGTGCAATGGCGGGTAAACCTCTGCCACATTTTTACTGTCCTGACGGTTGGGATACTGTGGTTAATCTTTCGTTGGAAGCCGGTGCTCGAAGTGATCGCTAAGGGAAGTCCCTGCCACCTGAGCCAGGCTGACTGGGTCCTCATCAAGGTATTAAAAATGAGTCCTAGAGAAGAGGCGATGCCTCAGAATTGTTTCACTAGGTCTTAGAGTAACCTCCTGTCAAAAGCATTTTAGTAGTCGCATTGCATCTGATGAGTTTTTTTTAGATAGCTGAAAGGCCAGTGATGATTATTGGGTGGAATGTTTTGTTTATTTTGGATATAATGAAGTTTAATCTCAAAGAAATGTCAGTCATACCCAGGTCAAAGTAATTGAGAGGAATTGGACAATCCATTCCTCAGCACTGACACCACTGATGGTTGCCACTTCCTAGCGGATGTTGGAAAGAGATGGGATGGTAGATTCAGGCTGGAAAATGTTGAGGCTTGTCTCTCACACCTCTTAAGATTTACTTTGTTCTTTAACCTTCATCTTGTGTGTTTTAATCTTGTGTTCAGTTTTCTCAGTTATAAGTAATATTATTTGTGAAGCAAATGCTTGTCTCAGCATATTTTGCACCTACCTGAGGAAGTGATTATTTGGTTTGAAGGAGGGAGTCACTTTAATTTGGCCATTTTGTAAGCTATAAACACAAGTTTTTTGTTTTTTTTTGCAAAACATCTGAATGACTGTGGATTTCTAATGTGCTAAAGTGTTGGTATTTACTTGTAGCGTCCGATTAACGAGCAGTTCCCAGCCAGAGTCTGGACCGAGGAGGTGGAAGATGATTAGTAAGTTGGTGTGTTTTGCCCTCGTGTTATTGAATCACTGATGGGAAAGGCATGTTTTGAATCCACAAAACTGCCTGATAGAGCTGTAAAATTGATCTGTAAGTCTCTAAATTGCTATAAAATAAAATTCTAGGATAATGAATTTGAAGGAATGTCTCAATAGTTGTGCTAATATGCTTCCAAAGAAATGGCTCTCTCATGCAGTGTGCAGGCAGTGTATTGTAACCTCTAACTCTATCTTAAAAGGTTGTTCCCACAATATATTCAACCTGCCAGTCACATTTTCGTCCAGGAATAGCAGGCAGTATTTTAGCAAAAACAATGTCTTTAGAATTCAATCACTTCTGTTTCTCCAGTTACTGGAAAGTTGGCATTCTAGTTCTCACAGTAATTCTCTGTCATTTTCCTTGTCTCTTTAAAGTTTTGTTCATCCAGCTGGCTCTGGGGAGGACGAGAATCATATTTGTTTAGCCGTGGGAGTGGCTGAAGATGATTGGAAGGACACTATTCAACTTCAGAAAGAGGAGGAGGTATGAAATCAGCTACTCTTCCATGTACTGCATTGCCAGGTAAATACCAGCTCCAGTCCATCCAGTGGAATTTTAGGGTTGTTCAGATGTAGTTTCTGAGAATACTTGATTTCAGAGGAGATGTGCATGTGTTTGGACTGCATTAAAAGTTGCACCAGTTTACCCACTATGTGTTGTAACTGATTTATCGCCATGGTTTGTCTGAGCATCTGCCACAAATGAGCCTCATCTACAATGTCTTGTGAAGATTTCCAATATAAACTAACTGAGATGTCCAGCAGACTAATTTATTACTCACTAGGTTCCCATCAGTTTCACTAGGCTGTAGAAGAACTACAATGAGAGTTGATGCTTCTCCGCTAACACAGGAGAAGTTAGCCAGGCTTTCTGCTTCTAATTAACTACTGAGCAAGATCAAGCTTGGCTGTGATGCCACCCCACCTCCTAGTTGAACAGATTACCAATAGGGCTCCACAAACGAATAGACACTTGGCTGAGGTAAGGAATGGCACTTGGTACCTGTTGAACTTTACTTTGTGACATTCACCTCGAGGGGGTGGGGTGACAAAAAGTATCGTGGAGGTTAAAAAGGAACTTACCAGATTCTTACCCTCTTCTTCGTATCTCCCCTTCCTCCCCAAACTGGTGAGAAGAGTGTGCTCAGGGGGCTGCTGGGGTTCTTAACCCACAACCTGAATGTAATGCAAGTTTATTATGGGATGGCTGTTCCTGAGGCCTCAAATAATAATAAAAATCATAATAATCCTTGCATTTGACATAGCGCTGTTCATGTTGTGAAGACTCCTCAGAGCACATCACAAGATATACTGGTAAAGTGTAGTATTTTGAGAATTTGTTCTATTAGAAAATTATAACTGAGAAAATCTGAATTTTAGATGACTAGACTTTTCTAAATTGATTTTCGGTTTCAAAATGTAATGTCATACAGTAACTTATTAGAATCTAAAATGACAATTTAGACCAGCTTTTCACAGCTGGTGATTCACTTATTTAAATCCTTTGGTTCAGTGACCTTATGTCTGATCGGGGCTTCCTGGGGTTTATAGCAATACTGCTTAATGCTCTAGATAAACTTAATCCAGCTATTTTTCTTGTGTTTTTCCTTCAAAGAAAAGTGTGATTCGTTACTACATTTCTGAGGGTTTTCGCTACATTTGGAGTGAGAAGAGACAAAACTTCTGTAAAGTCTGGTGAGTGGACGTGTGTAGGACCACTGGGTCAGCTGCAGTCACAGTTAGTGAATATCCTGGAGTTTTGCTTGATTAGCTTCATCTTGATTTGTGGAGAGAATACTGGCAGAATTTCGGATGAAGATTGAAGGCAGAATGTTGGACCATAAGTTAGTTGGCGAGTTAATGTATTTTTATTAAGAGGTCAGTGTTAAAATCTGAATTGTATCTTAGTTGCACGATTTGGTATCAATCCCAATCAAATAGAGACAGATGAATCTCGTGCTTTTTCTGGTAGACAGTTTACAAGTTCAGTTCCAGGTGTATTTTTACATAACTATCATTTACCCTTTTGTTACCTGAATCAACTAGACTAGGCCACTTTGTTGTAATTTTCAAAGCAACCTCGTTTACTATAGATGAGATACCTTCTTGTATTAATATCGCACTCAGGATCACAAAGTTTCCCCCCTTAGATCATTTTTGTTACAAAGCAATATAGACCCCCTGTCAACATTTAGGTGATAAAAATTAAGCCTTGAATGTACTTGAAGGCTTCATTGCTCATACTTTTTGCCTCTGATTTTCCTTGTTCTTGGTGTAATTTATTTATATTTGTCTTTCATAGTGATTTAGATGAGCAACTGACATGTGCAGATATTTACAGGCAAAAGACAGCACTCAGCAGACATGACCAAAACAAAAAGTAAGTACTCGAGGAAACTCAACGTATTGTATTTAAAGGCCAGCATACTTGTCAAAAGTAGTTCAGCAAAACATCTTTGTGGAGCATGCTGTGAAGATGATACAATAATCTCATTAGTGTACAATATACATACACTACATGGTTAGAACCTCAGTGATGGTTTCAAGCAATGTTCTTAGATATTTAAGTGAATTTAAAGTCTGACAAAATGCATTGCATGAACCATTGTGCCAATGTGTATGTGTTTTGCTCACAGGCGGAAGGTGTATGGGCCAAATATCATTGACGTGCCTGTAAAACCCTACTTCACATTGTTAGTGGAGGAGGTGAGTCTAGGCATGTCTGCTTACTTCTTTAGTCAAATGCTTTTAATTCTGTTGCATCCAGGTGCTTATTTCAAGTGAACGCACCAAGAAGTTGTAAAAATCAATTTAGCACCTACATGAAAGTCACTGATCTCAGTCTTATCTCGGCACTTCATTCTGATCTCACCTATGTTCTTAGCTCTGGAAAGGTTAATGAAATCCCAAGAGCTTTCAAAAAAGCAAAGGAGGTAAAGAGTAAAAAGATGATTCCTTGCTCTTTATACTGTTCCTATAAGGCTTCTTAGATGAGTTGTTAGTTGACCTTTTCAGTATTGTAATTGTTGTTTGGTTTTGATGGCGAGTGCTTCAATTTTAATCTTCTTTGTGATTCCAGGTGCTGAATCCCTTCTACATTTTCCAGATATTAAGTATTGCGCTATGGATGGCAGAAACGTATTACTACTATGCAGCATGCATTCTGTTTATTTCATTCATATCCATTGCAGTATCTCTTTACCAGACGCGTAAGGTACTGTATGCAGGAATATTCTACAATATAATAATAGTTGCATTTGATATGGTGCCTTATTTCAAAAAGTAATTCTGTACATAGCATCTTATAGTACGGTTTATATTTATAGCACATTTCACATCTGGAGGGTATCTCATAGCACTTTGCACTGCTAGCTGGACACCTGGGAGGGGGGGCGTGGGAGTTGAAGCTGAAGAGTGTGGGGAGGGGAAAGATTACCGAAAGCAAGGTCAAAAAGTTCGATCTTCCATTGAATGCTGAGGACAATGGAGAGAAGGTGAGAAGCTTCACAATCTTGTCACTAATTGCAACTGTTTTCTCTGGTGTGCAGCAAAGTGTAACCCTGCGGAATATGGTAAAGCTAACTGTCAAAGTGCAAGTCTGCAGAGATACTGGAGGTGAGTGGTGGCTCAAGTTCTAAAGGCCCCTGGCTTGTCTCTGTGCTCAGTTGATGGTGGGCTTCATGGTGGTTTTCATGTTGATTATTGTTTTGCAGAAGAGGAAATGGTGAATTCTCAGGATCTAGTCCCCGGTGACTGCATTGTGATTCCTTCAAATGGGCTTTTAATGCCCTGTGATGCAACGCTTTTAACTGGAGAGTGTATGGTCAATGAGAGCATGCTTACAGGTGAGAGTGGATATTTTATATGAGCTGCAGTGTAATAATAAAATAATGTAATGCTTGCATTTGATATATTGCCTCTCAGAGTTCTTCACAAAATATTCTATAAAGTGTAGTGACTGTATATTTTGTAGGTGAATGTGGTCGTCAATTTGAACATAACAATGCCCTACAATCAGACCTAATGTAAATGACCGATTTTATCTGGAGGATTGTTGGCCAGGAAACCAAGAGAAAATCCCCTTTTTTGTTTCATACGTCTGTACATTTGGGGAGTAAAGCAGCAAGTTGAGTCTCACTGCTGGGGAATCCAAAATGGCGGTTCACTCTATTTCAGCTAACATTTCCATTACTCAGAAGTGGGATTCAAATTGCATTTCAGCTTTGTCATTTAAATAACCAGATGTGTTTGGGACATCACAATCGATTGCTGTGATTCTAGTATTTCTGGATCCTTCATTTTTATCCCAGTGTTTGCTTAAACCATATATATGCATGTTAAGGATGAATAATTTATTGAGGAAACCCGTACACAGTGAAAGGAAACTATGCTGCAGTGTGTTGTTTTTCCAGGTGAGAGTATACCAGTGCTGAAAACCACTCTACCTGACCTGGATTTGACTTATTCTATTGATGAGCACAAGAGACACACGCTCTTCTGTGGAACCCAAGTCATTCAGTCGAAGAATTATATCTCAGAAGATCCTGTGATGGCTGTGGTAATAAGGACAGGTACTGAATGGGTGCCAACGTGGGTAGGGAGTGAAACTGTTCAGATGAAACAGTTATGATAATTTTGCACAGTGCACATTTTTCAGCATCTCTGCATTACATCTCAATGGTTGCTATATTCTGTCAGTAACTTTCCATTGATCCGTTGTAAATTAATTCTAAGTTATTTTAACACAAGGTCAAAGTGTATGTGTGAAAATGGCAGGAAAATCTTTTATCAGTCAGATTCCTGTAATCCTACTCCCATGAGTAGCCATGCATAGCTTCGCTTTTGTAAAGTAAAGTAAAATGCAGCATCTTAGAGCAAGGAAACGGGCCTTCCGGCCCAAATAGTTTGTGTTGCGTGTATACTTCACACCAACGTTCATCTCCCTAATCCTCTCCTATGCCCCTCTATTCCCTGTTCCTTTACAAATGCATCAAGATTCCTTTAAATTCATGAATACTTTCCACTTCAATCACAGCTTCTGGCAGTAAGTTCCACATTCCCTCCAAAGGAATATTGCTTTGGACGCACCAACAAGTCGAAACAATCTATTCACATAATAATAATATCCACCTATTGAATCCTTTCATAATCGTAAACACCTCTATCTCAATCGTCTCATCTCCAGAGAGAAAAGCTATAAGTTGTTTAATCTTTCTTGGTAGTACACTGTGGTAGGAGAGAGATCTTCAATTTGTTTTTCTTCCTGCAGGTTATTGTACTGCTAAAGGAGACCTAGTCAGTTCCATTCTGTACCCCAAACCTCTTGGATTTAAATTCTACAAAGATGCCATTAAATTTATCATCTTCCTAGGACTGCTTGGTAAGTTGGTTTAGAAGATCGGGTGTCCTGTCTTAATATATCTGTCCTATCAGATATCAGAGATCAGCTAAATGCCAACAAAACCTGGCTGTGCCTACTCCACCTCAGGTGCTGACTATATTGACTTGCAAGAATAGTCGCTCCTATTCATGAATCCAATGTTGAACCTCTGAGCCTTTTTTCAATGGCCCTTCCTCTTCAATCAACCATCACTGGCCACCTAACTACTCATGTTCCTGCTCCTGAACTCGCCTTAATTTAACTACATGACAATGGAGTAAAAAGCTGGCGAGATGACTATGATTTGGTGCGAATGCTTCCAAGGAATAACTGCTGGGTTTTTCTTACAGCTCTGATTGGGGACATTTACAGCGTAGTGATTCTGGTCCAAAAGAAGGTAAGAACATAAAGCTCCTCCTGCCTTCTCTCTCTCAAGATGACAGGTGCATTATCACCATTTCCTGGCCTATAGTTTTGATATAGGAATGGAAACGGGTAGATTGAATTCTAGATTCTCACTTTCAAATGCCTATATGGGCTTGCCCCACCCGACCTCTGCATTATCAATGATGTAATACCAGGTCCAGTGCAGTTTGGAAAGTTTCAAATGTGTTCAGATAATCTCAGCTGTTCTCCACTACCTGGGCTGGGCAATTGTTCTAGTACTAGTGCAGGAATTAATTTAGTGTTTACTTAATACTAAGTCTTCAGTGTAGCATACTCGGGCAGACCAAGTAAGGATTTATAAGAATATATGTATGTATACTTTCTGTTTGGTGTCTAAGCAAATATTTTGTCACTTTTGTCACTGATGTGCTCCATCATCACAGCCATACAGTAAGAAATTGTTTTGATGTACCATAAATGTACCTTTTATCCATCACAATAGGTCTGTATATTTCCCCCCATTTTTAATAGGTGCCCGTGTCTCGACTGCTGTTGCGTGCCCTGGATCTCATCACCATCATTGTCCCACCTGCTCTCCCGGCAGCTATGACTGTTGGGACCATCTATGCCCAGAATCGATTGAAGAAAAACGGGATATTCTGCATTAGTCCACCCCGCATTAACCTTTGTGGGAAGCTTAAACTAATTTGCTTTGATAAGGTGAGACTGATGATGAAGCATTGACACTTGAATGCAATTGTAATTGGCTTTGTGTGATACTGTGCCAAATTCATTTACAATTTTCCTTGTGAATTTAGAAAACCTAGATGAGATAATTCAGATGGAACCTTGTTTTTTATTTCTTTTCAACTCTCCAGTTTTCTCCTCTCCTAAAGTTGTCCAATAAAGTACTTTGTCTTTTTTTAAAAAATGTGTATAATTGACGCTAATTACCATTGAGTATAGTAACATTTCTTTTGTAAACAAATGACATGTTGCATAGAGCAAAGTCCGACAAACAGTCGGTGAATGACCAATTAATCTGGAGGATTGTTGGCCAGGACACCACGAGAAACTCTTCTACACTGTAGTCTTATCAATCTCGCCTCAACCTCATTCATCATAAAGAGTAGAACTAACAATTGAAGTATGTTTTGTTTAATAATAGGAGGTATTGAGAGTTTTGACAGACTTTTTCTTAAAGGATTGAAATTATACAATCAAGTCTTGAAAGTTTGCTTCTTTATAGCAGTAACATTTGTTTAATCAAAAATATTTTAGTGGTTTGTGGAATTGTGAATGACAGTTGGGATTAAAATGCTTTGTTTGTTGCAAGGTAGAGGATGGGGTTGTGAGGATTGTTAAGTGAGATGATGTTGCTTTTTCTGCTTAGACAGGAACACTAACAGAGGAAGGACTTGACATCTGGGGGGTTGTACCAGTAGAGAGCAATGTATTTCAGCCAATTATTCATGAGCCTCGCCACCTTCCTGACAATCCATTGCTCCGCACACTAGCTACCTGTCACAGCATCTCACTGATCGGAAATAGCCTTATTGGTGACCCACTCGATCTGAAGATGTTGGAGTCCATTGGATGGGTATGTCCATTCTTTCTGCAGATTTGCTAGTGTTTTACTTGTTATACACTCTACTACAGGAGAGAGATTGAGATATGTCTTATTGTGCCTCTTTCCAGTAAATAGACATGGTAAGTTGGTACCACAGTCTATAGTTGAATTTTCATTTACATTGACATGGTCATCAAAAGCACTGAAGGAGAAATCTTACTTTCCAACAGGAGAACCAAATTTAAATCACGCACTAAAATATCTATATCTAGTGCCTTATGTCGTTGAGACGTCTCAAAACGCTTCACAGAATATATTTTAAAGTAAATTGGCTATGTGTTTGGTGGGAAAAATACTTTTAAACGTATTTTATTTATTGTGACCCATCTTTAATTTTTCTGGTTCTCCGTATCCTCAGTTGGCCTGATACATTGATAGATATAGATATATAATAAAAATAATCCTTGCATTTGATATAATGCCTTGTCACATCTTCGAGACATCTCAAAGCGCTTCACAGAATAAACTGTAAAGTGAATTGACTGTATATTTTGTGGGCGAAGCGCCCATATATAATATCTATATATATATATGAACTCCACTTTCAGGATCTGAAAGAAAACGTTACGGAGGCTGACAGCATTGCAGCGTTTGGGACAAGAGTTCTGGCTGTTATCCAGCCTCCACCAATGGAAGAGCAGCCTTATGATACTGTAAGTATCATAAAATTATGGTTTAAAACTACAATAGAAGTGTTACTGTCTGAGTCATCAACACTGCCTTTGTACTTGAGTCTTGGGTTTGAATCCAGGCTGTGAGCAGACGATTAAACTCACCCACCACTAACGTCCATTGAAAGTGGTAACTAAACTGTGTCTAATAATAGTCTGAGTATCCGACTTACTATGTATCTATAACTTGACTTTTCCTAGAAACAAGAGATAGTTGTGGGAATTCTTCGTCGTTTTCCATTTGCCTCATCACTGCAGAGGATGAGTGTGCTCACCAAGAGACCTGGCAGTTTGCCCACAGAGGCATACTTAAAGGGTGCACCTGAGATGGTGGCCAGCCTTTGTCTGAAGGAATCAGGTAACTAAAAGCTGAAGAAAGACCCTATAACCATTATCAAGGCAAAGCACGTGGAATCCAAAACAAGTGGAGTCGTAATGTGTTGATATGTATTAAATTTGCCCAAATAATGGGAAATAATTGGCTCTCTTGGGATTCTGATTAGTTCAAATGAGCAGAAGGCACTTGTTCGACTGGGAATGTATTATTTCATTGAAATTACATATTTTCATATTTGAAGAACGTTTTGAATTCTCATTCCTTTTCATGTTCCAGTTCCTACTGATTTCTCTGAAATGTTGCGTCACTATGCCAGGGACGGCTACAGAGTTTTGGGGCTTGCATACAAAGTGCTGAGTCCAGACATCGCCTTTGATGCACTACACAAGCTTGAGAGGTAGGTACAGTCAACAGATAGTTTGTGAAAACGCTTCACTGTTTTACCTTCTCTAACTTGATCCATGGTTTGCATTGTCCTCTACAGTGTAAATGATGAGTATGTTTTGCATCTCCCCCAGACTGGGGTGGAATGTCTGGCTCGTGAACATCCCAGTTGCACTGCAATTTTTAAAGTTCATTTTGTTTTCTTTGAACAGGAGTTATGTGGAGAGTGAGATGACATTCCTAGGATTTCTGATTATGCGGAACGTTTTGAAAGCAGAAACAAAGCCTGTGATTATCAGCCTGAAACAAGCCAATTTTCAGACTGTAATGGTGACAGGTATAAAAACAATAATCCTTGCATTTGATATAGCATCTTATCATGTCTGAGGCATCTCAAATATGATCTGATGGGACTGAGGGGTCAAGGAAATATATGAGGTGTGGACTATATGCCGGGTTGAGCAGGATACTTACAAGGCACTAGGCCTGACCTGTGGGAGACAGGGTAAGTAATGGGGAATCGAGTCCATAGCTGAATTGTTTTACTGTTTGTGCCGCTGTAATAGGGTGTTTAATTTGTCTTCTGGTGTTTGTTTCTGATTAAATGTTTATTTATCGCAGTTGTCAAATGTTGATACTTTATATGTTCTTTATTTGTACTGTTTCAGATAACAATTGAATCTTTTGGAATAAGCTATGGTTTCTACTCCAAATATGATAGTATGTTCATGGTCAAAGAGCCCTGGATGCGTTTTCCCTTTTAGATCAAGGTCTGGCCACTGACCTAGCTATCTGTACTCCTGTTTTTCAGGAGACAACATGTTGACAGCCCTGAATGTCGCCAGGAACTGTGGGATGATCGATTTGAAGGACAGAGTCATTTTTGCCAGTGCTTCGCCACCCACTTACGATAAACCTGCCTCTTTGAAGTTCATTTTAGCAGACCCTATTCCAGACCAACAGAATGGGACTGAGGTGGGTACATGCACACTGATCTCTGGCTGTGCTTTACTGACATTACATCAACACTGGATTATACCTTTAAGTCAGCACCAGCAGGACTGGAAATGAACTAGGAAAGATGAAAGCTAAATGTAGTTCCAAAGACTATTACCTAAAACAAGCTGAGAAGTGAAGGCGAGAAAACCCACAGCAAAACCCCGAAGTGCAGCTCTCAGGGTGTCGGGGACAAACAGCAATGTTCCTTACTAGGCACATCTTTGGGGGGAAAGGGGTTGGGGAAGGGGTGAGGAGTAGTGTTGGTGAGTTGAGAAAGGTGAAGGCAGCAGCTGGGTTTAATGAGCATTACTTCATAAAACAAAACTTCCTCTTGTCCACTTTGTTGAGACATTTTCAAGGTGCTGCGAGTTTTTGCTTGCTGACATCTCACCCTGTACTGTGCTTCTGCTTCATACTTCAGATTGTGACCTATCAACAGGAGACTTGGAGCCAGTCTTATCACCTTGCACTAAACGGGAGATCCTTTGCTGTGGTTCTTGAGTATTTCCCAAATCTACTACCAAAGGTAAGCCATCGTGCTTATTTTGCCATGTTCCGTTCATAAACGTAAGAACCAAATTAATATTCAGTAAGGAAAGCTTTGAATAGTGCAACAACTGTAATGCAGTTTTTTCTCATTTATTATTATTCACACCTTTGCCCCCGCACCCTGAGGATATTCCATAATTCCATAGGATTCACTAGTTCTTTCCCACATCGTTCTGAGTAGAGAGATCTGTAAACGCCTAGATATACTACTGTCTGATATCGGGTTAGTACCTTTGTATGAGCTGAGCTTCATCCCTATCAAACTGTGCTGGAACCGATGGCCAGGATTTCAGACCCATTACAACACATCTTAGGAAAACCATACAGGGAGTAACAGCACAGAAATATAATATTGATAGTTACTGTACCTTCAAGCAGGGAGGGACATACATTTTTATGTAATAAGCATTCTGAGATACTTAACTATTTTAAGAGCACCACAGAAGTTGAGTTGTTCTATTACCTGGTACAACATCTGTAGCAGGATACTGTAAGAGTTATTGTTTTGGGGAGGCTGCTTTGTATTTCTTTGGTGGTTTCTCCTAGATCCTGCAGCGAGGCACTATTTATGCTCGAATGGCTCCAGATCAGAAGACTCAACTCGTGGAGAACTTGCAGAAGCTGGGGTAATTGACATGGTTGCTGTTGCGCATAAATGAGGCAAGGAGTTGCAGGCGATTAGAATATGACAGAGCCCTGAACGGTCCCACTGTGGTTAGGCACTGAGCCAGACCCTAACCCTACCTCACGCACCCCCAAATGAAAGGAAGAGAAATCTTTCAGAACGTTTGGTAGTAATGTCAAGCGCAGTGATTGCTTTGTAGGCAAAAACTACAGCCATTTTGCAGCAAGGTTACAAAGCCATAAAATAAATGACCAATTTAGTTGGGAGAATCATTGGTCAGTCACTTTTTCTGATGATTTTGCTGGTGGGAGAATGGTGCACAGTTAGTATTATAAATAATTCTAAGGTGAATTTGTGTATATGAAGCGACACGTAATTGCAGCAGTTGAAAGCCCTGAGCAGAATTCCCATTGCCCCAGTTTTAATGTTTGATCCTAAATCACAAGCTACACCCCAATATTTACACTATCATCACTCAGGATGAGAGCAGTTTCCTGCTTAAACTTGTGAGTGGATGGTGTGCACCACTGGAACGCCGCTTTTATCAAATGTGTTTGAGGAGTGAAACCAGTGGTCCAGGTGCTAATGTATTTGAATATTGTCCTTAGTCTCATGTCCAGTTTAATGTCCACTCTGTCCTTCTAGCTACTGTGTGGGAATGTGTGGAGATGGAGCCAATGACTGTGGAGCTCTGAAAGCTGCTGATGCAGGAATCTCCCTCTCGGAGGCTGAGGCCTCGGTGGCGTCCTCTTTCACCTCGAAAATAAACAACATTGAGTGTGTACCGATATTGATTCGGTGAGGTTTTAAATGTAAACCATTTAATTGCGTTGGAGGTGTGTGTTTGAGATCTTACTTTTTCTGTTGTGGCAGTTTGTGGTGGTACCCAAATCTATTTCCCCACTTCTTCTCTTGATTCCAGGTCCATTGATGTTCTGTCCACTTGCCTGTCAGACATCAGACATGGATGAGCTCAAATCCTATCTCTTTGAATGTGCCTATGGCTCCTACCCCGTCTCCTTTGCTCAACTTCCAACCCTAAGCCAGCAAAACGCTCTGATAGATTACCATACGTGGAGGGCGTTATGTAAATGCAAGTTAGGAGCGTGAGATTGAGATACTGATTGAAGGAATGTAGGATGAAATCAGGAATTACAATGCCTTTGTACAAGAATCAAAAATTTGTGAGGTTCATTCAAAACGGGTTTAAAACCATCACAAAACTTTGGAGGAAAAAAATGAGGTAATTTGATTTTAAAAATGAAGTTAGCTGATCTCAGCCAGGGTAGGAGGGGAGGGGGAGTCACTATAATTTTTCTCAGCACTTTGGGTTTGTAAGGGAACAATCAACCAGCTTAGTTGTTAAGGCTTGGTTCTGGTAACTTATACTAATCCTTGCATTTGACGAAGACCTTCCTCTATTTCTTGCAGGGAAGGACGTGCCTCTCTCGTCACATCCTTTGGAATTTTCAAATACATGGCAATGTACAGCTTGATTCAATTTGTCTGTGTCCTTATATTGTATTCAGTAAGTGATTTAAGCATAAATATTACATTTAGACCCAAAATGGCTGTATTCTGCTGTATACTGTGAGCAATTTAATGCATTGGTCCTGATGATGAGCACCCACTTCATTTTAGTTTTAGGGGTTCTGGTGAACTTACAAGTCGAGGGAGAAAATTGACTGGGAAAAAAAACGTTTTAAAGATATTATGATATAATATATATCTTGATCAGGGGGGGTTTGCTGAAGATGATTTCTATTCTAAAGTTTCACATTAATTCCAGATCAACTCTAACCTCGGAGACTGGCAGTACCTGTTCTTCGATCTGGCAGTCACTACAACCATTGCCATCTTCATGGGGCGAACAGAACCCACCAAAGAACTGGTGCCTCAACGACCCTTGGGAAGTCTGATCAAAGTTCCCATCCTGGGCAGCCTGGTGCTGCAAACCCTGGTGATTGTAATGATTCAAATCCTGACCTTCTTCATCACAACCTCTCAGAGCTGGTGAGTAACTGTGCCTGCGACTGGGTACAACTCTATCCCACAAACAGTCGTAGATTGAGTGCCCAAATTAACATTTTTATTTATTATTTGGACAATGTGTGATGGTCTGAGTATGAGTGAAAGTCTTGGAAGTCAATGCAGTATGATGTGTGGAGCGCCGCTGGGTCAATTTGCTCTGACTTGGTATTATTGAATCAAGTTTCCTGTAGTTGAAGTCACAAGGAAGTGTAACTCAAAGCCTGGCCTTGGAAGATCTGAAACCAGGAAAACTGGCTATTTTGCATGACTTCGGGAAATAGGTTAGCCTCTGGCAACGCACTCGTAGTGTAAAAATGGCTGGGAGTTGCTGTTACTGTCAGTTACTACTGACAGAATGTCTGTTACTTTGGAGAGGTTTATTTTGTGTGTTTGTTTTACTGCCTCCAGGTTTGTTCCTATAAACGTCACATCCACCAATACCAACTATCTCCCAAATTATGAGAACACTGTCTTATTCTGTGTGACTGGATTCCAGTATCTGATCCTTGCAACAGTCCTTTCAAAGGGTCAACCTTTTCGCAAACCACTGTATTCTAATGGTACGTACCTCTGTTTACTGTACTTTTTGAGCTACATTTGTTTAAATGGCCGAATCACTCTGGGTGGACAGATTGTACGATAACCAAACTAATACAGATTTGGATCATGTTTCATCGTTACATTCTCATTATAGTCCCCTGCACTAAGTTCTTCCTGGCTGGGCAGGCCTTATCCAATGGTCACCCGCTGGGTGCAGCAAGGTGTATTTTAATAATTAATAATAAGAACACCTTGCGATCACCTATCTGCTAATCTTCCTTGCCTTGCTCATAATGCCCACAACACTGCCATGCCAGGAATGTGCTATGGGGAAATTGCAGGCACAAACTTGCCTCCTACAATATGGGAGTACTGCATCCCTGTACTGCTCTGGGTTCCTTTCCCTTCATCCTTCCTGCTGTGCTGCTTAGTATTTGCTGATATTTCTATAGTGTTGCATTACAAAGTGTTTAAACGTCTATCTCTATTGTTAGTTCTATTGGTGATAACACCCCTGCTATTGGGAGAGATGCGCTGCAATGGTTGGAGTATATGTAATAGAAGGAATTTTACTTAATGCTCTGATACAATCTCTCTTTACAGTGAGTATCTTTCATTGGGCCTGTGTTTGCATTTTGCTGTGTATCATAAAATGAGTATCTGTTGATCTTTTTGTTCTCTTTTAAACTCTGTTCTTTGATTGTGTTTGCATTCTCTTGTGTGCAAAGAGGGGGCTGGGAGGGCGAGTAGTAATAGTATTGTCATTAACATCACTATTGTATAATCTGGAAGTTTTATATATTACAGACTAACTGATATCCAGGGAAAACGGGGTTTAGACTGGAATCTAATCCAGATTTTTATATGGTTTACATGTAGAGTGCACTGATTGAACTCCAGTTGGGATATTTAAGGCAATTCTGGTTGTGGTATGAGAGTAGGCACATCTTGCAATTGGAGTGGATATGGCAAAGTGCTACTAAATTGATAATTAAAATTAGGCACCTGAGTTACAGGGCAACAGACACTGGAAATGTTCACAAAGGGGAATAAAAGGCTCTGGGAGATCACTGAAGTAAGTCCCTGGATATCAGTTAGTCTCTAATATATTATTGGAGTTCAACTGGTTTGGATACAGTCCAAACCAGTTGAACTCCAACAATATGTTTAACAGTCATGACCTCTATAGCAAGGGGGCAAAGACATGAGCTCACAAGCAGGTGAGAAACTAAAATCAAAGCACAGGATTACTTATAGCAATCTGGTTCCCATGCCAGCAGTTACATTCTGTTCGGATGCTGGTTAAGGCATTGACAACTATGGTAATACAGGAAGAAATTGTAGCTGACTGCCAAATTCTATGAATTTAATGTACAATATATTCATCTATTAGTTCTTCATTCTGCTTTGCTATCTGGCTTTGATCTCAACCCAGGGGAACAGGTAACAGTGTAGGCTGTAACCTTCATATTCAAGGTTACTAGAAGCTGACGAAAAGCTTTTCTGCTTAATACGGTAATGGGGAATCTGTAGAATCTTTGCTGTGCTAATCTTGGCCGTTCTTTAATTTAGCCTTGGCATGTGTTTGGAGTGAAAGAGTGTCCGTTGCATTGCCTTCCTAAACATTCTGGGTTGTATGGAGATTTGCAGAGGAGTTTCCTATCCATTTCTGCTGCCGTTAATGTTCATAAATATATCATAAATAAGAATCCTTGTGTTTGATTTAGCGCCTTTCATGTCAGGAGAATGTCTCAAAACGCCTCAAAGGATTTACTGTAAAGTGCAGTGATTGTAAGTGTTGTGTATTGTAGGTGAATGCACCAATTGATTTGCACATAGCGATATCCCACAAACAGTTATGAAGTGAATAACCAATTTTATTTGGGAGGGATTTTGGGCCAGACTGGGAGAAACTCCCTTTTTTCGAATAGTGTTATGGAATTTTTAATGTCCACACAAACAGGCATACTGGATCTTGTTTAGCAAATGAAAGACAATACTTCCAACGGTGCAGTGCACCCCTTGCACTGCATTGGAGTGTCAGTCGAGACTGTGTATGTTTAAAGTCCCTATATAGGGCTTGAACTCACAGCCTTCTGAGAGATTTCCATCAACTGACCACGCTGATGCCCTATACACGTGATCAGATTATGACTGATTGAACGAGCATTCTGTGTCCTGCAATTTTACTAACAGTGGTTTTGCGTTATTCAGTGTGTGTGTATGCGATTCATTGTGTGTATGGATTGGTGGTAGTGTGTGCGTAGAATCGGGTTTAATTTAGGTATAATTGAACTTAAACTTCTAAAGCAGCAGGAATTGATGGACATTGTAATTTATTCAAAGCACTCCTGTTCCTTGATTTGAATATGGCCCTGGAATCGGAGTTAGTAATACATGCCAGGCTTCATTGACTTGTTTTATGTTCGTGTGTTGATTGTATTTGTGATCATGTGGTGTGTACTGTTAGTGAGTGGTGGGTTGCGATATGCTGAATCATTCGTCTCAGTAACCTCTCATTTTTTTTCCTTCTCTTTTCAGTGTTGTTCCTGTTCACTCTGATCATCCTTTGTGTCCTGATGATGATTTTTACACTGCACCCGTTCACTTTCATGCGCCAAATTCTGCAGCTCATGCCCATTAACGACATAAACTTTAAATTATTACTGCTGGGATTTGCAGCGCTGCATTTTTTCACTTCTTTACTTCTCGAGGTAAGAAATAGTTTACCTTTATTAGGTAAAGGAGCTTGGAGTAACTATGACTCGGCTTCCAAAATTTTCTTCGATGTCAAAGTCACTGGTTTTTGATCAGGGTTTCCTGATGGTTCAGTTTAGATCAGGTATTCAGCACGTAAGCATTAAGGAGCCAATCCTGGGTCAGACCACCCCATGGTACAGTGAATTACAAAACCACAATGCAAATGCACATATCTGGAAAGATATTGGCTCAATATTTCAGCATGGTTTATTAAAAAAAACAGGTTGTAAACCAATATGTTACTCACTTAGTGATATTGGATACCAATACAATATTAAGTACTAGATACAAAGACTGAAATAGACTGATAGTAATGCCTTTAGAGTTAGTTATTGGACTGATCTATTTGGGTCTGGGGCCAGGTAAGAAAGCTGTCTGATCTGCTCAAGGGTAACATTCACTGTACTCTCGGTCTCTTTTTCAGACTGCTATAGACAGTGGAATTTTAACACTATGCCTTCGGATCCTGTACAAGAAAAAGGATAAGAAAGCACTGTACAAGAGACTTGAAAAAGAACTCTCCCACAATTCATCATGGCCTCCACTCAATGAGGTTATTTATGCGGAACAGGAGAGGGCCATCTGTTTTGAATAATGCTTTTCGCAGGATCTGGTGTTCGGCAAAGGAGCTGGAGAAAAGGGACAATTATTTTAACCAAAACAATCCTTATTTTGTACCAAAGATGGTACAAACCGTGAATTCTGTTTGTATATTAGATAGATGGCGTAATTATTTTGTAAGCCAGGTGTCTGACACGCACTGAAACCATCATTGTGTTTAAGAGTTCCAAATATGCGTGCCATCTGTGCATAGAAATTTCCCTTTGTCTGAAATGGAGTGTCCACTCTCCCTGCTTGCTTCATTCCGGAAAGTATTCGGTGCACATTGGCAATAGCCAACTCATTTACCCAGAATGTGTGCAGCCAGTTAAACCACATAGAGTAAACCTCATGTAAGTCGTATCAGTCAGGACCATAACATTTAACATGACTTGCGCGATGTCTGATTTGCAGGCAAACCGTATAAGTCAAATAAAATCAGATGACGGTCAGATTTATGAGAGTTTTACTGTAGTGAATACTGTTTGACAAACTTCCTACTGCTTGTCCGGCTGGGACCGACCTTCCTGTTAGATGGCGTAACAGGGTGAAGCTAAAGAAATCTTTTAGAAACATGAACTGGGGAACAATTTGACCAGGATTTGCATTTCAAAGGTTACCATTCATTTTCTAACATACCAGGGTGACATTTGTGGATTGATGTCTGATATTCACGTGTGTGGGAAACCAGTGAAATTAAGTGTCAGCTGTTTTTTTCCTTTGCCATTATCCCAAGTAAATGAAACATTACTAGGGTTGTTAATATTCAGTCAGAGAGTTTCCCCAGACTGTGGGAAATGAAATCTGAAATAAACTGGTTTGTACGCCAGTTAATGATTTATTTATTTTACTACAATGACATTTTCCAAAGATTGTAATAATTGCTGTAAGTGGAGAAGATAAGTTGGACTTGGGATAAGATGTATGAGATGATGCAGTATAGTCTATAACCAAGTGCTTTGTGATGAATCCGAATCCTTTCACTGACGTGCTCCAATGCAGTCATTTATTGCTTTTCAATAATTTTATTTTGTTCTTTAAACTGCTGGTCTCTGGAGTGTGTTTTACTAGAACAGGACTGATTTGTATTGAACGTGGAGCCAGCTGAGCTGAGCTTTTTTTGCCGGTGAAGGGGTCAAGTTATTTCTGGCTGTAGCCAGAAGATGATGGTAATACGAAATATGTTGGGGTTGGTTTCGATATTTAAACTGAAATCTCTTGGCTGTGAAATTATATCCAGTTACAAAACAAACTGGGAACCAATTAATTACTCGGCCTAATGCAAGATGTTGTACTTTAGCAATGTTAAACAATATTAAATAAACCGACAATTTCTGAATCTGGCAAAGATGCCAGAAACACAAGGGAAAAAAGCTTGCAGATGCTGGAAATCCCTAGGTCAATCAGAGTGAAGATTAGGTATATACTTTGTGTGTTACCCTTCATTAGAACTCAATAATTGTGGATAATAAGAGGACGGATTATTTATAGCACCTTATAACATCGTCAAGATGTCTCAGCGATTCACAGGATTTATTCTGTGAAGAGCAGTGACTGGTTATTTGTAGGTGACTGCCTACAGATTTTTTAATAAAATATGTATTTAAAATATGAAAACTCAAAAGATTTAATCAAGAGGGAAGTGTTGTGAGTGAGGAGAGGGGTGGGATCAGCCATCAACTAATTGTCAAAAGGAATTGGCTGTTGATAACCAACGATAAGCAGTGGTGTGCAAAGAAATTTAGGGGTTTTGGTGATGGGAGACAGAGAGTGTCTAGAGCTGGAGAGGAGGGGTGGGGAGGGGAGGGGGATGAGAGTAAGGGTTGGGGGAAGTGGAAATGGAGTGGAAGAGATTATTGTAAAGCGAAGGGTGGGGGTTTCGCCCACAAATATACAGTCAATTCATTTTACAGTCTATTCTGTGAAGTGCTTTGAGACGTCTCGAAGACGTGATAAGCGCTATATTAAAATGCAAGGATTATTATTAAAAATGGTAACCTTTTCTCGTTGCACTCTGCTTAACCTGTAATCATGACTTCAAATTGCAGCTCCGTGAAATATGTTTTACTACATTTTAAAAAGCAAACACTACTTTGATTATTTTTGGCCATATATTGTAAATAATGAGGGGGGGGGGGGGAAGAGGGAACATTTCCAGGCCTGACTGCAACTGGATGGACTGTTTTTGGTGGGGGGGAGAATCATTTTGTAGAGAAAGAAGCCTGATTAGTACAATGGAGCAAGTGGCAATAAATGAAATTCAGAATTTTTTTAATGTAAAATTTTAATGTGTATAATTAAATAGACCGCAAGGTTCCTCCCCCAATGTAAGTATGTGTTGTGTGAAACAGTCTCTTTCAAACATGTGGGCGAGTGAGAGTTGTGCAGCTCAGTCAGTTGGAGGCGATCCCTCGTGTAACGCAACCTGTCAGCTGTGTGAAAATGTGTCCTTAATGACGTGGTTCAGGCTGAATCCCCTGAATTCTGGAGTCTGTCCGAAACCTGTTAATGGTTTTAAAGGACACGTTTCAACTGCAATTTCTGCAGCATTTTAATTAAGGAGCAGAACGCATTTAGAAAGGCTACAATTTTGACCCAAAAACCTATCGTGAGGCTGAAGAGAACTCATTTATAACACTGTTGACCTAAGTGTGGAGTCATTCCGGATCCCTCAGTTAGTTATAATGGTTTTGCTTTTCTAGTGTTGAGCAAGCAGCTTTATAGCACTCAAGTTGCACTGGAAGCGGACTCTTATATTATATTTTTATTTTACTTTTTAAGAAAACCTATTCCATAGATGCATTTAGCTGTGAACATTTTAGTGAGTCTATTATGTGTACAATATTTTTTCAAGTGTATAAAGGAACCAATTTTGTATTTTAGGTTTTTTATACAGTGTAACGAGACAAGTGGAGATTTATGTAGTTTGCAAGAATGTTTTCTAAGTGCCATTATATTTGACTGCCACTGTCTTACAAGGGGAACTTCACTGTGGTGCAACAATAAAACTTGCACTTGATATAGCGCCATATGTTAATGTCTCAAAGCAGTTTATTATATAATGTGTTAATTTTTAAAGTGTGTTGGTTGTTCAGGAGGCATGGAGTGAATGTTTTGTCTGATTGTACAGCAAGTATATTATATAAAATTAAGATTTTATTTCTTTAGTGTCTGAGATTTTGTGTCAGGTCTTTTAAGATTCTTGATTGAACATCAATTGTGTTTTCAGTTTTAAACAGTTGCCACACAATTAGCCTTCATCTATCTGACCAGAGAACTGCTTTCCACTGCTATACAAAGTGAAGTGGGCCTTCGTGCATTTCTTGGCCCTAAATTAGTAAAAAAAATTCAATAATAAAAACTTACAATGTGAAATTGGCAGTTTCAATTGGAAAAGATTATGTCTTGTCTGCATTCAGATCAATTCATTGATTTGCCCCATAACAAATGAAGCCAATTGTACTATTAAGCTAATCACAGCAAAACATTGCATTTGCGTTCAGGGAATCATTGTGTGGCTGTGTTGTTTAAATATTTGGTGGCATTGAGCTTTATGTAAGGCAAGTGAAGCGTTTTCTTACCACAGATGTCAGTGGATACGCAAATCTAAAGTTAGTGTAGGAAATCTTGCGCAAGGGAAACTAGCTGAAGTCCTGAAACTCAGGAACACTCTTCCTCTCTCCTTTTGCATTGCCCCCTCCCCTCCTTTCCCATTTTCAGATTGCGCCTGAAGAGCTTCCTCTTCGACTGTGCCAACGGTCGCCTGCCCCGGCTCTGTGTCGTTCTCCACCGCTGTCAAGTGGTCTGGGACGTGTGAGGGGCACTATATAAATGCAAGTTGTTGTTAAAGCATACAACAACAGTTGATGCTCATCGTGCAGTGAAATAGACAAATTCACCATAGGGGAAAGAAAAAGTCCTTGAGGCAATTTCTATAAGAACCTTGAAGTGGTTAAAAATCTCAACAGAGGTTCCAAATTTTCTAAACACTTCGTATATTTAAGGTCCTATCAAATCCTCTACCACCACTTTTTAGATGGAAAAGTTTCCTCAAAGCTCTGTTCTGGAATTAATGTAGTACCCCTTTGCAGCATTCCCTCTAACAAATGAATTGCCTTTTAGATTCAGTCCTAGACAAGCACCCTTTGCTCGAGAGTGCCAACATTTTATTGGAGATTTTTGACACTGCAAACATTTACACTATAATTACATTGTAGATACAAGTGTAGAGTGGATGGTGAGAAACAGCAGCTATGCATTTGCAGCCTCGGTCTTGTAAACTACCATCATCTTCTTAATTTCAGCAATTGCTTTCCCTGGGTTCAGACCCTAAAGATAAAACAATAACAGAATTTGAAACAGTTTCACAGCCGTCACGCACACTTACCAGGGATTCAGACATTGCCACTGTTGAGCAAAGAGGTAAGCTCAATTTCAAGAGTGCTGAAGTCAGTGTTATAGCAAAAACAATTGGCCCATCGAGTCTCCATTGGTGTTTTACTCCACAAATCAATCAAGTTCCACCATCCTGCTTGCTCTTCATACCATTTAATATTCCACCTCTTCGTGTGGGTGAGTTTTTAAAAAAAAGTGGTCAATTCATTCTCTAGTGTTTAAAAAAAATACCGAACCCGAAGCAACAAGATATGGTCTAGATATAGGATAACCCACTAGCAACCACAAACCCTCACTGTAAGCCGATTTACCTTGGGGCAAGCCTGTGTGCAATTCATGATAGTGTGACAGCGATAGAGAGAGAAGGGATCCTGCAGCTGAGCCAGACGCTCCTCCGTAAACTCATCTCGGGAGTCGATCATCCAGCGATACGCCTGAAATGTAGATTTTGGTAGATTAAGCAGGTGTAGGAAAAGCCATTGTTGTATTTCAAGTACATCTGGTTCCAAATTTGGGAAACTCCGAAATGCAACAAGCTGTACTTACTGCCCGCTGTCCAAATTAACAGGGCAGAGAGAAAAAAACATCAAACTCAAGACCAGGCAAGGAAGCCCAGCAATGCTGAACTGTTCCCCAGTAATGAGAGCATTTCAATTGCAATGTGAAAAGGAACCAAGTGGCTGTCAATTAACTAAAAGATCGAGCTGATGCAACAACTGCAGCTCGCCTCAACATCTGGAGCTCCAGTGTAGGCTAGTGGTGTTTTTTGTCACTATGATATCTAAATATAATAATACCAGAGAACCTGATCTAGCGCCGCTTGGATTTATTATTTATAAATCCCATTAAGAAATTCTGGAAATAACCAGTTATCTAGGATGACTTCCCAGAGTGACCGAGTGTGCGCTTACGCTCTAAATAAATTACAGATCTAACAGAAAACAATCAGTTTTGATGTTGAATTGGGATCGCTAAACTTTTTTCCCCCCACAATTTAATTTTTCTTAAAGAAAAGCTGAAAATTAAAAATCAATTTAAAAAAATTGATCACAAGAAACAGGTTGAAAAACATGGTTAAAAACGCCTTTTAAGCTTTAACCGCCACCGACTCACTTTTGAGATATCAGCCTCTATAATTACAGGAGCACATTTAGCAAAGTCCATATGATTTTGTTCAACGGACAGAGCCCCAAATTGCCTCATAACTCTTAAAAATTGTGCAGGCTCCAACAGAATTTTAATTTAAAACAGCAGTTTGGATCTGGATAAATCAGAACTGGTTTGTATTTATACATTTATTATATTGGATTTAGTTATAATCATAGTGCATAGCATTTAGCATTTCAGTACTGCAGCAGAAAGTGTCTTTACCTGCATGAGGACGGCAGGCCCTAAGTACTTATCCCCGTTCCACCAATAACTTGGGCAACTGGTGCTGCAGCACGCACAGAGAATACATTCGTACAGGCCATCCTGATGAATGGAGATGAAGCAAGTTTAGTTCAACCACATTAAGTTGATAACAAGGGAGCATCAGCTCAGTACTGTCACTGGAAAAGTTAGGGAGAAGTTTGGAGGAAACTTTCAGTTATCAGAACTCCAGTGACCTCACCAGTTTCTGTCGGTCTTCAATAGATTGCACATATTGCTGCTTTCCCTCCTGTGACTCGTCCTTCTTCTTCAGGTAAGGCTGAATTGACTTGTACTGTGCATAGAAGTTACTCAAGTCCTGGAGTGGAGGGAGAAAAGGGTCAGACATTATTTTGTGTGGTGGATGAGTGCATTCTTACAAAAGTATAATACCACAAGCTGATAAGTGTTAGAAACATTTGCAACTATCTCCAACAACTTTAGAATGATCCGATTCCAGTTTACCAATTGGTTGAGTTAAGTCAATTTATTCAGGTCAAAACAGCAGGTCATACACAAATAAATGAAACAATAATACGCACGACACAAAACAGCACTACCGGATTTCTGTTACAGCACTGTCGTCTCTCGCACTGATCCGCTACCGTTCCGGAGATATATCTAACACACCTTTGTTTAAAGATACTTAAAAACTCCAGCACAGCTGTCTTTTTAAAAAAAACAACTTATATGGTTATATCCATGTTTCAATTCTACTTTCTGTGTCCTTGTACTTCCTGATTTTATCTTGCCATTGTTTTGGGTTCTGACTTGCAGTTTATTTAGCTTTGAGCCTCTGCACTTCTATTTTATATTCTTAAAACACACTTTAACATTAACCCATTAACCCAACAATAACAACAGGATTTGAGAGAATTCCTAGCAAATTACAGATAAGGTATTGTGCCCACACAGTCCATGTGAAGAGTTTGCAGTTTGAGCTGAAGAGTTTCCCACCAGGAAACGTGGAGTGAAATTCAGAATCGCTCCTTGGGCGGCTGCACAACCAAATGATCAGCTGCCAGAAGGTTGCCAACTGGCACGGGGGTTGGGGAGGGTAGTATCCTGAAATCACTCACCGGCACAAGGTCCTTCACCACGTACATATGAGGTAAGGGATAGATCTTTGATACTTTGTTGATGTTGGTGTCAATCTTGCAGGTGCAAGCAAGTGTGTTTCCACCATTGATATTCATGGCACAGGAGCCACAGATGCCTAAAGGGACAAAATTGGACCATTAGCAGAGACTACTCCTTCCGCTTATTTTCACTGAAGCTTCACACCAGCAGCTCTCCAAATCTACACAGTATAAGTTACCTAAACTGTTTCAGTCTTAATTTCCAAGTGAACGCAGCCTAGATTTGAAATGCTGGATTTAGTCCAGACTAGTCTTTCCAAACCTCATTATAACATGCCAGGTAAATAGCTTGTGCATCAAGAGCAGAGATGTGACTCATGAACAAAACATCTATGAGGGAGGATTTCATCCCCTCAAATTAAAACCCAGGTCCTCACTGAAACAATAGTCAGTTTTAGCAAAGCATGAATAAACTAGTTTGCTGATGGTGCAATATCAGTGCTGTAAACACCTTGAATAGGCAAGGAGCATGGCCACATCTCATTTTCATAATTTTGCACAATTAACTCCTTTAAAGTTGCCCTCTCCACCTGACGAGTTCTACTCTGTACCAGTTGTATTCCATTACGCACTTGAATTGCTATTCCTCCCCCCGTTTCTCTGCACTCACCCTCTCTGCACGATCTGCGGAACGTCAGTGTGGAATCCATCTCATTCTTGATCTTAATGAGAGCATCCAGGACCATTGGGCCACACCTACAGGGTGAGACGTGAAAGAATTGAAAGATCCAGGACATTAGTCTTGAAGTGTTTAAAATGGTAGCAGAACCAGTTCTGTGCAGCTGAGCTGTGTTAATGTCTCAAGAAAGCAGCCCTCTTGGTTGCTCAGCACCTTGGGACGTTCTCCCGATGTGAAAGGCACTATATAAATGGTAATCTTGTTGTTAGTGTAGATTGTAATGTTTATCCATAGTCTGCAATTTTTATTATGAAATTTCTCTAATTCTCTGAAGCAAAAGTTCTATCATTGGAAGCTTTTTGTTGTTGTTGTGAATGCTCTTTTGGGGATATTTTGAAATGTTTGATTGTTTGTGTATTGGCCTTTTCTAGTCTTTGCACTGTGTCCTCTGTCCAACAAAATAGTCCAAATCCCTTAATCACTGAAGTTATCCATCCAAACTTAAATACAAAAGATCAATAATTTAGAACTTGCATTTTTACAGTATCTTGTACAACAAAATTTTTCAAAGTGCTTTATAGTAATCGTTTTTCATAGGCACGTGGCAGGTATTTTGTGCAGAGCAAGAGACGGGCAACAATCAGACATGAAATGAACGACTGATTAATCTGGTGGAATGTTAGCCAGGAGACAGGGAGGAACAACCATTTCTTTATGAATAGTGTCATAGGATACTTAATGTCTGCTGCAGGCAGGATTGAAGTTTAACATCTTGATGCAGTGCCCCCCCACCTTGCTATACTACCCTAGAGTGTCGGCCTCGACCGAAGGTCTCATATAGGGCCTGAACCTACAACCTTCTGATTCAGAAACAGTGTTTCTGACAGACACCTAACTGAGTATAACTTAGAACTGGTGTGAAGAGTGCAGGATTTCAGTATTTACACTTACGTGTTCAGATCAATCTCATAGGTCTGCATGCGTGGCTTATCACCTGGTTTGTCTGGATTCCATCTGTAAATTGCAAACTTTTTAATTCGAGTGGCGGGTGCAGCCTCAGTGGCTGCGCTGCGAGATGCCTGTAAGTGAAGTCAGTGATCAGTCAATGAGCTGTGCCATAGGCACATTTACTGAACCTTTCTTGCCTGCTAAATCCATCCTCACCATCAATGCAACAAAATTACACAATTTGTATGTCTTAATTTGCACATTTAGCTTCAGTTACTGCACTGGAAACCAGAGCCATGGCAAGATGAATTCATTTGAGCTATCTCGAGCACATCAAATTGCATTTATATAGTGCCCTTCACATGGGGTAGCGACCTTCTCTCCCCTCTTTCGAGGCATGGCAAGACCTAATTCTTTGACCGCAATTTCAGTCACCTTTTCCCTTCCCCGAGCCACCTCCGTTGCTCACTCTCTCAGTTCGGGTGCCCAGCCAAGGCTTATTACACCCGAGAAAACGATCACCCGATCGACTAACAACCGGGTTCCTACTTACTACGAGGCAAACTGGCGTGGAGTAAGGAAACTTGCCTTATAAGCCTAAGGCTTCGCCCTGACCGGGAGGTGAACATGTTGACCACTACGCTACAGGACTCCTCAAATTATACAAAATGCGAGGATTATTATTATGATAACATAAATCCCCTTGGATCTGATAGATAAGAACGTTAAGAATTTGCTGGCGTAAGAAGACCAAAGTCCACCTGGTTCAACTTCCACCAACCTGGCAGAGTCGCTCGACGGGTCGTGTCCCCAAACTATGCACTGTCCCCCTTCCGTCCCCGTCCCCCGGATATTATTTTCCAGCAGAAACGCCTCTCGTGTGTTCTTGAAACAAACGGCGCTTTCTGCTTCCACCGTCTCCCTCCCTCGGGAGCCTGTTCCCGGGGAGTTTACTACTTGCTCGTGGGACGTAGTGTCTCCGCAGATTTGTTCTGAATTTACCCCCTCCCCACCCATCCCCCCCCACTTCAATCACAGGCCCGTGTCCTCTGGCTCTACTGTTCGGTACAAACGTTATTATGTACAGAGATAAAACATTATCCTTGTGTTGATAAGGCCTCGGGACGTTGGTCGAGTCCTTGAGTTTCCCGGGAACCAAACAAACGGCCGGGGCGGAGGGAGGGGAGTGTGTGGAGCACCTCTCAGAAGCCCCCCACCCCTCTCCCACACCTCTCCCCACCCCACCCCCACACCTCTCCCCACCCCACCCCCCACACCTCTCCCCCCCACCCCCACACCTCTCCCCCCCACCCCACACCTCTCCCCACCCCACCCCCACACCTCTCCCCACCCCACCCCACACCTCTCCCCACCACCCCCCCACCCCCCACACCTCTCCCCACCCCACCCCACACCCCCCACACCTCTCCCCACCCCACCCCCACACCTCTCCCCACCCACCCCCCACACCTAGCCCACACCCCCCATACCTCTCCCCACCCCCCACACCTCTCCCCTCCCCCCCCACACCTCCCCCCACCCCCCCCACCCCCCCCACCTCTCCCCACCCCCCCCCACCTCTCCCAACACCCCCTACACCCACCCCCCACACCTCTCCCTCCCCCCCCCACACCTCCCACCTCTCCCCTACACCCCCCCCCCCCCCGGGGTTCCCTCACCTGCAGCAGACACGCCGCCCTCAGCGGTAACCAGACGCTTCCCTTCCTCCACAAGCAAACGCCCGCCATCTTCGGCGACAAATTCTCTCTCTCTCCCCCAACCCCCACACAGAGGTCAGGGACAGGACCGGAACCGGAAGTCAAGGCAGACTCGGAGCGAGCAGCTTCCCGCCCCCCCCTCCTCCAGGCCCCGCCCCCTCCAGGCCCCGCCCCGCCGGCCCGCGCGGGGGGGGGGGGGTCTGTCTCGCGCCGCGACCGTTGGGAGTCGTCGTCCTCGTCGCCTTGTTTTTTTTCTGACAGCCGACAAAATAATTGCAGCTCGGGAGACTTAAAGGGGGGGGGCGGGGTGGGTGTGGGTGGTGGTGACTCGCGCAGGTCAATGGTACCAGCCCCAGGTCCCGGTTACTGCCCCTTTAATCCTCTTAACTCGCACGCAGGGTTGACTGGACTCCTGCCCCCACTTTGCTGCTCCTCACCCCCCCCACACCCCCAGAGCCTACAGCAGCATGACATATGACGAGCTGGGGGTCGTGGAGGGAGGGAGGGAGGGGGGTACGGGTGGTGGTGGGTGGGGAGGGGGGTACAGGTGGTGGTGGTGGTTGGGGAGGGGGGGTACAGGTGATGGTGGATGGGGAGGGGGGGTACAGGTGGTGGTGGTGGTTGGGGAGGGGGGTACAGGTGGTGGTTGGGGAGGGGGGGTACGGGTGGTGGGTGGGGAGGGGGGGTACGGGTGGTGGTTGGGGAGGGGGGGTACGGGTGGTGGTGGTGGTTGGGGAGGCGGGGTACATGTGGTGGTTGGGGAGGGGGTACGGGTGGTCGATGGGTGGTTGGGGAGGGGGGTACGGGTGGTGGTGGTGGTTGGGGAGGGGGGGTACATGTGGTGGTTGGGGAGGGGGTACGGGTGGTGGGTGGTTGGGAGGTCAAAGCACGGTCGCAGAGGAAAGCCTCGAGAAGGGTCTGGGAGGGGAGGCCAGAGAGGGTCTGTGGGGTGGAGTTCCAGAGCGGTGGTGCGGGTGGGATGGTGGGACGTTAGAGGTGTGGGGGGTGTGGGTGGGGAGCGAGGCCGCGGAGGGCTTTGAAGGTGAACCATGGTCAATTTTAAGCACAGGGGAGCTGTTTGGAAGAACGATCCATTCAGTCCCATTTGCCTGTCTTTCACCCCCCCCCCCCCGCCCCCGCATCGTTTCCCCCAGTATCACACTGACCTGACACAAGCAGAGCCATAACGCTCTTTTTTTTTTTTCTTTCCGCGTGCGAATGAATCTCGGCGGCGCTGGCGGCGGCGGCGGCGACGACAACTTGCACTTGCGCCGGGCCCCTCGGGCAGGGTAGCGTCCCCGGAGGGTCCGCCATTGCCCTGCCGTGTTTGGCCCGCGAATTGCCCGCTGTGCGCGGTGAAATCCCGCGAGCTTCTTCCGTGCATCTCCACGACCGACCTCGCAGGGTGATACTCGACGACGGCGACAAGATCGCATTCGTGGAGCGCCTTTCAACAACAACAACAACAACAAAATTTCATTTATAGAGCGCCTTTCACTTCGGGAGGACGTCCCAAGGCGCTGGACAGTTGGGTCGGGACCCGAGGAGGGGGGAAATGGTCAGGGTGAGGGGAGGGAAGGGAGGGAGCGAGGATGGGGTAGAGTGTCGAGAGGGGAGCTGAAGGCACGGTCAAAGAGAATGCAAGGATTATCATTATTATTTATCAGGATTTGCAATTGCGAGATCTCAGAAAATTCCGCTGACTTTTGTGCTTGGTTTTGCACGTTATGCGTAAATGGATAGGCAATAATCAGGTGGACATAATTGGGCACTAGTTTCCTGTCGTGGTTAGATTTTCTCAAGACTGGCCCCACTGATCAGAAATTAGTTGGTTTACTACCAGAAGAAAAGGAAAGGATAGCAAATAGCTTCTTCATACGTAGTTTCTGTTTTATTTTTTATTTCCAAAGCTGAAGTGCATGTCTTTCAGTATCAGCAGGTTACGGGAGGAGCTCATCAATGAATTGTGGCTGGATTTCATCATTAACAGTGTGAGCAAATGGTCAGTATTGAGCAAAATCACGCTAACCTGCCCAATGAGTCAGAGCTCCAACCCCATTCCTCCTTTTCCCACAAAGTTCATATGTACAGTAATAAGGAACATCATGCTCCTTATTGGTGTCAGAGTCTGGTTAAATCAGTTATGCCAAAAAGATTGTGTCCAAGATGTGTGGCTCATATTAAGATGCCGTGCCAGGTTCTGTCCTTGTCAAATGGTACTGAGGTACAGATCAGCTGCAATCTAAAAAAAAATGGTGAAACAAATGGCCTGCTCTTGTTCCTATAATAATCCTTGTATTTGATATAACATTTTATCATATTGTCGAAATGTTTCAAACTGCTCCATAGCACCTATTGTGAAGTGCGGTGATCATGTACTGTGTCCCTACAGGCAAACGTAGCAGCCGAGCTGTGCAAAGCAGTGCCCCACAAACAGCCACAAAGTAAACAGCCAACAAGGTAAGGGTTAATTTGGTGGTGTGCTAACGAATACCACTGCTTGTGACATTTAGGCAAGTTTTGATCTGTTGAATGCTCCACATTGCATTTTGTTTCACCTGTTTTGCAAAAAAACTGGGAAAGTTATAACTTGTACAGAGTGGAGAGGACAAACAAACTGGAAAAGTTATAATTTGTACAGAAGTGGAGAGAGGTACAGCAGGTTTTCTTAAACAAATAGCCTAATATTTTCTCAGATGTAATGAGGCAGCAGTAGTTACCATTTTGAGGCTTGAAACATGATCCTCTAGTAGTTTTGCTAGTATGATACCTGAGCCAGAGAGTTCTTGCAGACACAGTTACTGATGCAACCAGCTAGTCTGGTGCTTTGGCAGGACTTAGAGGCACAGATCAGCCCATTTATTATAATAATACTAATCTTTGTATTTGATATAGCACTTTTCACGTCTTCTAGATGTCTCGAAGCGCTTCACAGAATACGCTGCAAAGGGAATTGAGTGTATATTTGTGGGAAAATGCAGCAGCCAATTGCACACAACAGCGTCCCACAAACAGTCGTGGATTGAAATGACCAGTTTATTATTTTTTTGAGGGATTATGATCAGGTGTGTAGATTATTATCAGGTGTGGGTAAAGGTTATTAGCTCCAGATAGCAACGTAAGTCAACTTAAGGCAGGGTGACACAATGGTATTTGTTTAATGTTTAATCTTAATTGCCATAAATTTAGCAATATCCACGCACACCTAATTTTTGATTCTTGTTAACCTGCAGTTATGTGTCCTGTGATTAGGCTAGTGTGATGCAGGGGCTAAACTCGCCACTCATATTGGTTTCATTAGTCAACAACAACAACAGCTTGCATTTATATAGCTCCCTCCACGCTGGATTGCATCTCAGAGAGCTCAACAATGCCTGAGGGAGACCTCAGGTGACCGTAGGTGCAGTCGAACAGGAAATTCTTCAGAAATTCTTCCTGAAGTTGGGGGCGAAGGGGGCTAGGTCTAAAGGGGTGAGGGAAGGAGTTCCAGGTATTATATAAACCAACCTATTGGTGATGTGATAGGACTATGTGGTAAAGTGTAGGCGGCTTCTGTTGCACAATACTAAATTGACCAGTGAGAGGTGAGATGCACTGTGAGATCTGAGAGCAACTGTCTACAGCTGCACAGTTAAAAGCCAGTTGTGAAACTACTGAAGAGAAACACTTCTTGTGTGTTAGAAATACAAATCATCTGCTTCACTTCCTGCAAGGTTCGCTGACATCTTACCAAGTCCTGAGACAGGTACAGTAAGAAAATGTTATCCCCTGAACTTGGACTGAGACTGAATTAAACCTAAAGCTTGAGGTAAAACAAACTGTTCAGATCATCATGAATGGGTAAGCAGGATAATTATTTACACTGCATCAGGAAAAGAGAACGAAAAGGGGGGGAAACTTGTCTGCCTGTATTTAACAGAGAAATTGGATGTAATTCCAATACTGATTAATGGATTGATAGATTTAGGTCGGATTTAAGATAGATTTGAGACAGCCTATAATGTGGAAGATTTCCTCACTGCCACAGTCATGGGTGTTGCCTTTAATGAGCTGTGTTTACTGTTAACTGATCTGTACATAATTCTAACAAGAAATAAGTAGCAGCAGATTTATTCATTTGGAACAAAGAACCAGGCAATGAAAAACGCAATATAATAAATGTAAATTGTATTTGTGAATTTTTTTTTATTTCTTCATGCCTGAGACAGCCGAATGAGAAGTGGGAAGATTGTGGGTGTTGGGAGAGTGTGTAGGACTCTATTGAAACCCTTTTGTACTTTGTTACCTAGCAGCAAGTAAAAAGTAGTTGATTTTCGGATTATTTTTCCAGGGATAATATTCCCTTAAAATAAATAATAATAATAATTTGGTCACTCAAGTCACGACTGTTTGTGCGACACTGCTGTACGTAATTGGCTGCTGTGTTCAAATCCATTCACTCCCTGGCAATGCCCTACCTCTCCGATCGATTCAATTCCGAGCAGGGCGAAACCTTGGGCAAGTTTCCTTACTCCACACGCCTAATAATAATCCCTCCAAAAAAACAAAACAATAATAAATTGGTCATTTTCAATCCATGACTGTTTGTGGGACATTGCTGTGCGCAATTGGCTGCCACGGTCGCCCACATATACAGTCAATTCACTTTACAGTGTGTTCTGTGAAGCGCTTCTTGACGTCCTCCCGACGTGAAAAGCGCTATATCAAATGCAAGGATTATTATTATTATTATTAAGTGCAAGTTGTTGTTGCTGCATTTCGCCCACAACATGTACAGTCAATTAATTCACTTTACAATATATTCTGTGAAGCGCTTTGGGGGCACAATCAGTCCAAATGGCTTCTTCCATACAGAAACTTCTATGTTTCTACATTTTATATTACTTTTTATCAGAAATATTCTATTAAATAATCATATTTTTGTTTCACTTGCAAAAATACATAGTCACTCCACTTTACAAATATGTTCTGTGAAGTGCTTTGAGATGACTCAGTGACGTGATGGGGCACTATATCAAATGCAAGGATTATTATTTTTCCACAGAGAAACTCCAGTATAAAACCTAAACACTCATCATGTCTAAGCAAAGGACCATTCGTCTGGATTGTGGGAAAAGCACTTCAGTGATGTACGTCCTGGGGACTGAACTCAGCATTGACTTATACACGTGAGTCAAAGTTATACATGTGTTACAAAATCAAACTGATTTTCTGTTTCAATGTTATATGCTGGTTGAAATGAATATGCTTGTCTATTCCTTAGTTCAATAATAATAACAATCCTGGGTGGGTTCTAACTCACAGTGGTCTCTGCTCCGAAGTCGCTCGCAATGCTGGATATGGTAGTACATGGCAAAACCGATTTAAACTTGTTGCATGCTGCTCTGAACTTGTTGAATTCTTAATTGTTATTCAAGCATGTTTACAGAGCATTGAGCCACTTCACAATACTTTGCGTGAAGGAATGCTTTCCCGAGTGATAAAGGATGGGTTCATTATTGTATTAAGACTTGATTCATACCAATGTTATCTGAACAGCACATCAGATTCAATTTCCCATTTGACTAACGTGAATAATTATCTGGGTATAAATGCTTTTTTCCTCTCTCTTTAGTTCTTCCCCTCCAGGATCCACATCATTTGAAGTACGCTTCAGCCCAGGGACAAAGTGTTCAATTTCAAGTCATGGTTCTGTATTGTCAGACCAACCCAAACTATGGCCCATTGACAGAAGGACCTTTCTCCTGGTCACTGTGGACATACCAAGCAGAGATGTCAATGACAAGAAGGTAACTTCAAGTGTCTCTGCAGATCTGCTGCCACTTTTGAGCACTGTTGAAAAGGCATGTAGAGAATGATGGAGCAGGTTTAAGGAATAAACAGTAGAAAGTTAATTCAATTTATTTTTTCTTCTTCAGCAAGGATTCAGAGAAATATTTTTCTTTGTGTGATTTTTTTTTTTGGTCACCCGGGTGTCTGACACAAGCGGAAACCCGTGCTTAAGAGTATCCAAACCAAAATGAGAGTTCCATGCATCCCACCTATACATGGAAATTCCAGAGATAGATTGTTGGAATGGGATGCGCACTCTCTTCTTGGAGGGACGCATTCCGCTTACCTAATTCTGGAAAGTATTAGGCACAGGTTGGCAAGAGCCAAGACTTGGGAACTCCTGAATGTATGTTGGAATAACTGAACCTCCTAATAAAGAGCACGATTGAAGGTTTAGTTTAGGAAAGTGGAAGGTTCCTTTATTTCTTCCTTTGATCAGTCTTTCCTGGACCTCTCACTCCAGCTGCCAAGAACTCAAACAGATGGCCTGCTCCCAGACCACTGCATATACTTCCTTTGCATGAAATCCTTGGGTTGCCCCCAGGTATAGATCAGTATTCCCATCTTGATTTCGGTTCGCTCTGTAGGGAGATGCCTTTCCTTTCTTCGGTACTCTCTTGTGATTGAGATTGTGAATTGAGTGAGATCGGGATATCAAAACTCGGATCCTCCCTTCCATTGGGTTGCCTGATGGAGACCCAACCCAGATGAAATGTTTTCACATGTATTTTTCTGATAACAATTTTGTTTAGCTTACAGTTGATGTGGGGTCACAATCATGGTAACCAGGACTAGGAATGCCTTGGGGTGATGGGATGCTGGTTTAATTTCCCGAGCACTGCTGGTAGACCTGTCACTGTATAGAAGCACCTAGAACAAACTATGTGGCTCCCTATAAGAAGGAAATTAGGAGCCCAGTGGCTGCTCTTATGTGTTTCAGAGCAGTGGAGAGAGATGGTCTGATTGATACTAACCTTCCATCTGCTTCTTGGATCTGATCCTTCTGTCTATTCTCTTCCTGTAGATCACGGTTACCTATTTTGGAAAGGATGCTACTAAGCCCATAGATAAGATGATGCTGGCGCTCACAGCCGTCTGTAAGTGTTTCACCCTGGCTATTAACGGACTTGTCCATTAATTAGCTCATACTCATGAATCTAGTGTAAAGCTCATGAAGTTTTCAATCATCTTGTTTGTAGTGAGAGATGAATCAATACCTGGAGAGTAAAAATATTAATGGATATAGCATGAAGGGAGAGAGGTTGGATTAGGGGATGTTGTACTGTTGTAAGTAGGCCACATATTGCTTGGATTTCTGTGAGAAATTGACAGTTCTTGAGAAAAGGGATATTAAGGTGCTATTTATCTAATCACCTTTGGAAGCTTTTGAGAAGACAGGGTCATAGTTATCAAACTATGATCCAACTGTCCTGTTGGGTCTAAGTTACTTCTTTGAGCATCAAAATCAAACATTTGGGGAACAAAAATATTATCAATCCTTCAGTAAGGCTAATGTGAGTGGAGTAAAATGTATAATCCGAGAACATCAAGAACAACAATTTACATTTATATTAATGTATGTTCACCTTTCTGTCAAGCAAGAACCAAATTTTTACACTGTGGTGCAGAACCATACTATGCAGGAAGGACTTGAGACGTACCTTGAAGAAGTGCCTGTAGAGCTAATGATTGAAGACACAATCAAATTATCTTCCTACAATTGTATTTGAGAACATGTGAGGGACTTCCCAGCCCACAATCCCTTTGTCTCGCCCTCTCCCTTGGCTCCTTCAATGCACGTCTCAAGACCTTTTTCTTCGACCTTGCCCTTGGTCAGCTCCTACTCCCACCCTCCCTGCCTTCCACCCCTCTGGATCCCAACACCCTGCTCGGGTGCACATCCTTGACTGTCCAGCATCTTGGGACGTCCTCCCGATGTGATAGACACTGTACACATGTAATTTGTTGTTTGTTGTTGTTGGACATTAAGGGAGAGTGGGTATTAGGGGTCGCAGATAATAGGGCACTGGACACACATCTATTCCCTTAATCACTGCCTCCCTTCTTTTACAGACATCTCCCTGGATGTGGATGCAGATCGTGACGGCAAAATTGAAAAGAATAATCCAAATAAGGTCATCACAAAGAATAGGCTGGATGCTATTTTCAATTTAAGAAACAGCTTGTGGCTATATGGGAAGCTGGGTGGAATGGATATTCTGGATGGATGAAATGATATGAACCAAAGGGTCTTCTTGGCATACTTCTTGTCGTTTTATGAGTTTTATACCAATACATTTGGCTTCAACTATTAGCTCCTGTTTTCTGGGGCAGGATGGGGGCTGGGGGGTGGAATAGAAGAGGGTCAAGTGTATTTTCTGGGAGGGGGCTTTTAATGACTACGTTTTTTATACTTGTGTATAACTCCATGAACCAGATGGAAACCTGCCAAGTGAGGAATCACATACACTGCACTCCCCCTGAGCTGCCATTCTTTAGAAGTGCGACTGAATTCAGTTGCTGGAACTGAAAATGTTTTTTTTCTTTTGAAGGCTTCTTGGTCTTGGGGCCCTGATGGACATGGTGCGATTCTTCTTGTGAACTGTGACCGGGATAATCTATCTGCTTCTAAACCAGACAACGAAGACTTAGCAGTGAATAGCTTTAACGGTAACGTGGTATAATAATAATTTATGCATTTGATATTCACATCATTGAGACATTTCAAAGTGCTTCTCAGGATATACTGTAAAGTGGTGCCACTGTGTATTTCTGGGTAAAGAGAAACATCCTGGTGTCCGTCCTGAAATTGCTCTAAGAGCAGATCTAATGAGGATTTAGGAGGAACTCCTTTGTGCCGAGGGTAGTGAGAATTTGGAACTCACTGCCGAAGCTGTGGTTGAATCCGATAGCATGGTATAAATATAAATAGTATATTTAAGAGGCAGCTAGATTTTCACATGAGGGAGAAGCGAATAGAAAGGTAAGGAATAGTGGAAACCATTCAACCAAATTAATCTGTTTCTAGGCTGTACATCTACATAAATCTTTATAAGCTGTAAACGTACATCCTCTTATTTCACTATCTTGATCAGCGCTAAAGTATTGATCTGGGTTTGCTTTTACAATCCTATTTAAAATTGATCTCTCTCAGAGGTCTCCTGAATGTTGAGAAGATGCTCTGGTACCCAGTTTAGATTTCATCTTCCGCCCCACCCACCTCACTCCATCCCAAAAAGGGTGCAGTTTTTCACAACACAACGTGAATGCTGGAAATACACAGCTGTGTGATTTTAAAAAAAAAAACAAGCTCATGTTTTGAGTATGATTTTCCATCATACCAGCGTTTGGTAAGTTGTCTTTGCTGCAACTCATTCCAGCTTGCTTTGTTTTGATAAGTGTGTTTCTGCTTTTGTCTTCTAGATTTGAAAGATATGTCTCGCATTATCCTGAGAACAGAGGGACCCGAGTCTCTGACATCTGGTTACAAACTCCATCTGAGCATTTCAGCCTCTGATAACGACAAAGTCAATGTCTTTTATCATAAGCATAGTGAGTCTTTATTTGTCAGTCTGTCTGTCTCTCTGAGGAATGTTGAGAAGAGCAAGTCCTTGCACATAAGTTCCTAGTCTAAGCACATGGGTGTCTGTTCAACTGCCTGAATGTGCTATGTGTTTGATGGAATCTTCCCTCCTCATTCTCTTCCCCCCCCCCCCCCCCCCACCCAGGAACTAAACCCCCTCGAGGACCTATTGTAGCAGAAACCAACAGATTGACTTACTGCATGTGTGAAATGCGCTGAACGGATCAGGTCTGTCTAGATCCAGATAACAACAACTTGGATACATAGCGCCCTCCACGCCGGACGGTGTCTCAGAGCGCCTTACAGTAACGGATCCCGGGACCGAGCCAGGGGGAGGGAAGGTGACCAAAGGCGCTGTCAAAAAGAAAGGTCTTCAGCAGAGAGCCGAAAATGGGAAGGGAGGGAGCCAGACGAAAGGAGTGAGGCAGGCAGTTCCAGAGCCTCGGGGCATAGTGACGGGGTTGCAAAGAGAGGTGGAAAAATAGAGTTGGGTGTCGTCTGCATACATGTGGAAATGTACCCCATGTCTGCGGATGACATCCCCAAGAGGGAGCTTGTAGATCAGCAAAAGGAGGGGGCCAAGGATAGATCCTTGGGGTACCCCACAGGTGACGGGGTGAGAGCGGGAGGAGAAGCCGTTTATGCAGATGTTCTGCTGGCGGTTTGTGAGGTAGGACTCGACCCAGGCGAGTGAGGTGGATGATGGAAGAAAGGCGGTGGAGGAGGATGGCGTGATCGACTGTATCGAACGCGACGGAGAGGTCCAGGAGGACGAGCAGGCAGAGGGAGCCCTGGTCACAGATAGAGAGGATGCTGATTGAGGAGACCTGAGGGGGGCACGGAGCAGGTAGTGGGTGGTGGGAAAAAGGATTTTAGGTTTGAATTTTAGGGTTAGCCTGGACTTGCTCAAACTTGTTAAATATTTGACTTTTAACTCTGTTTGCAAAACAGCTTTATGTACTCTACATTGACTGAGATTTAGCAAATGTTAGTGGTCGATCAGTATATTAAGGTTCCCCTCCCTTGCCTTGGGCTTTCAGTCAGCACTGTGAAGCAATCTGAGACGATAATAATCCTTGCAATTGTTATAGCGCTTTTCACGTCTTCTCGATGTCCCAAAGCGCTTCACAGAACAGATTTTGATTTGACGTGAAATGTATTATATAAATGTAAATCAATTTACCTGTCAAACACTGTGGGTCTCGCCCTCAATAGGAGCATGTATAGGCAAAGCATTCATTATTCTGATAGCTCGCCAAATGAAAACTTTTTTTAATCTTCCCCTTTAATTCTTCCAGTAACAATCCTGAGTTTGTGCCCCCTTTTTACTGATTTACTAAGCAGCGAGAATAATCTTGCACAATTTACCCTCTTAAAATCTTTCACAATTTTCCATGTTTTATTATTCCGCCTTTAGCCTTCTCTGTAATATAGACAAACATACTTTGTACACTTTCTATGGCTCTGAAACCTGTTCTGTAATGGCACCTTGAACTGCAAGAGGTAGTCCAACTGTGGCCTAACCAATGTCTTGTATAAGCTTAATATTACTATGAGTTTGTATTTAATTAACTCATATATGAATACCCAGGCTGAGATTATGATGAAATTTAAAGGGAATTGGATCACCTTTTAAAAAGGAACAACTTAAAAGTGAACAGGGATAAGAGGAAACAAAAAAGCAAAAAGCAACGAAAAAGCAAAGTTTATAGTACTCGGGTCAGTGGAGGAGTTAACATTAATTAACATAAGTGCGATGTGTGAGTCTGTGTATATGTGTGTTTTGTTTTATTTCTCTCTGTCTTGTTATCTCTCTGTCTCTGCTACCATTTGCCAAGAATGTCTTTTTTACATATTTAAAAGAATTTCACAATTACCCTTGTATCAGATTATTTTTGCTTCAACCATAGCAAGTATCACATCAGTCCTTGGGCCGAAGAAGCTGTCATTTGCTGTTGATTACGCAGTCGGAAGCAGCGACTATGACTTCTATGTGGAAGCTCTTAAGTTTCCAGATGCGGGCATTAACCCCTTTGTGACCATTAACCTCAACTTGCTGGAACCAATGGTAAAAATATTTAACTTACTGCTGTGTGATAATAACAACAATAATAGTCCTTATTGTCAAGTTTTCTCTTAAACACATTGTGGCTTTTTGCTTCAACCACAGCTTCTGGAAGTGAGTTCCAAATGTAAATTAATGGGGTGACTATTGAAGAGCAAGAGAAGGGTTTTGGTGGAATTGTTGACTCTTCACCAAAATTTCTAGAATATGACATTGTTGCCAATATAGCTGATAAAATACTTGGATTTATATCAAGAATATTTGATTATAAGCAAAATAGGTTACTCCAAACTTGTTTGGGTCATGGTGAGGCCACATTTTGAATATCATGCACAATGCATTATGATGGGTTCATCAAAGAGCAACAAAGGGGGATTTTAAAACTGGGATTAATGTCACAATAAGATGCTGACAAAATCTTTTTTTGTCATTGGAAAAGATCGAGAGTGGATTCAATCCAGGTCTTTAAAATAACGAATGGCAGAGATAATATTGATGCGATCAATCCATTCCCAAGTATTTGAAGTGTCAGTATAAATGAGACTATGTTTTTGTAATGTGTTCTTATTGTATTGATATTGTCTGCCTCTTCTCAGACCATTGGCGAGGCTCCTATCTTCACAGACCGGATTGTATTCCGCATTGCTCCATGGATTATGACTCCAAACACTCAGGCCCCGTTGGAAGTATTTGTGTGCAGGATGTTTTCTGACCCAAGGTCTCCAAGGTCAGAATTCTGGTAGACAAACATTGAAAGACAATGTCATTCGGAGGGTTTTGTGGGTATGAGTTACACCAGTTAAGTTGTGCTTACATATTCCAGGATAGGTAATCATCTTTCCTGGAAGCTTCCAGCAAGTGGGAAGAGTGCTGCCAATCCCGGCTTGTGAGGGACTCCCTGTTAGGGTAATTAGGGAGCTCAACAAAGTCACACCAACAGTGTTGATGTTCACAGAGACCCCAGTGTCCACCGCTGCAGTCTATCTGGTTCGGCTTTATGGACCCTGGGTTGATTGACGTATTATCGGGAAAACCTGACACTTGGGCTGTCATATTGCTGAGTGTGTACCACCCTCCCCTCCTCTCCCCCTCCCTCCCCACCCATTGACTAATCCTGAAATTGCTGCCTAGAAAGATCCTGTGACTACATCTGTTGTGCCATCTCAGCAGGAGAAGGCACAGATGGCTGACAAGGACAGGCTGCAGGTGAACTCTCTATAATGTTGACCAATTGATCTGCAGTTGAAGCAAAAATCCAGCTGATGGAATTTGTACAAAGATTTACAATAACAAATCCTATGAAGCTCCAATAACTTAGAATAGGGTGAAAATGATTTAGTAGTGATCATGTGCTCACGCTCACTCGCCTGTCTGTGTGTGAGACACTTGTACGTTGGAGATGAATCACTCAGTGGAATTTGTTTTCTTTTTTCATTAGTTCTGCAGGGAATGAGGATTTCCTGAGGGAATTCCAGGCCTTTGTGCAAAAGGCAAGGTGCAAGCTGACAATTTGTCCTCAGCATGTCAATCGTGGTGATCGTTGGATACAGGTAAATCTCTCAACCTAATTGTAACTATCGAGTCTGAAGCATCAACCAATGACTTGGAGAGCATGAGATGCATTGGCAGTGGTTGTTGTACATGACAACAGTAAAGAGGAAGAATAATCACAGAATGTTACAGCAGAGACGGGCTATCAAGTCCAAGCCCTCAACGCCGCTCTGGTGTTTTTCTTTACCCGATACATCTCGTCTAATCCTACCCTTCTGATCGTTCCCCATACCTATAGGCGCTCTATAAATGCAATCATGTTGTTGTTGTTGTTTCCCTCTTCTTTAAGTATCAAATTCTCTTTTTAAATAATTTATTCATTCAATTCTTGCTGGGTACTTGATCTTTCAGGTCTTTGGTAATGTACGCAATGGAAACACGACAGAATTGTTTCAGAAGTGCAAAAGGATAGAGGAGTTGGCAGGATGTACCAGTAGTAATCCTGCAGTGATCCTTAATTGTTTGTATTCAGACCACTGCATTTAGCAAAGTACATCAATGATTCAGATATTGTGGGGGGGCGGGGAGAGGGACGAGTGATTACATCCAAGTTTGCTGATGAAACTATATTGAGAGGACTGACAAATTGGGAGAATTGCGAGTCACATTCTCTGGACTCTGTCTCGTACTCTACTGTTTTACCTTTGATACCATGACTCGTTGAAATAATACCTTACCTTAACAAAGGCCCTCTGGATGTCCATATGGAACAATGTAAACAGAATTTCCCTCGTCTGCATCGCCATTTCCTCAAAAAATTAAATGAGATTAATTAAATGCAAACTGCTCTTATGTATCCTTGGATTTGTTTGATCTTTTTTAATACAGGATGAAATTGAATTTGGTTACACAGAAGCTCCTTACAAGTACTTACCTGTTGTGTTGGACTCTCCTCGAAATCGTGGCCTACAAGACTTTCCCTATCAACAAATCCTGGTGAGATGCAATATTCTGTTACTGGAATATTACTTTTAGCAATAGACGACAAGTGTGTTAAAATACTAATAGTCCTTGCCCTTGAGGTCACGCCTTATCACATTACTGAAACTTCTCAAAATGCTTCACCGGATTTATTGTGAAATGTAATGACTTTGTATTTTTTAGGCAAATGTGGCAACCAATCTGCACAACAATGTCCCACAAACAGCCATGAAGCCATCCTCCAGTTAGGTTTAAGACCTAGGGTCAAATTTGTTGTGTAAACCATGTGTAGCACAGAGGGAATTGGAGGCGCCCTTAAATATAAAATTAACAGAACCACCAGTCACAGATTATATGCCAATATTGAATGCAGAATCTACCCTACATGTAACTCAGAAAATACCTGCCCAGAGAGTGTTTGTTGAGATTATATAGAAGGCGCTTTAATCTAAATTTGACTTGTGCTATGATCTGACCTGGAAATGGTTGGTGTTGAGAATGAGGCAAAACCACTTGACAAATCCGTTGATCAACAAAAAAAAATCAATAAAAAATCCAAATTTGTTTGGCAACTTCAATCTCATCTTTGCAACCTTCATATCATTCTGTCCAGGGCATTGATTTTGGACACGTAACCCAGAATACTAGTGATGTCAGCAGCCTGGACTCCTTTGGGAATCTGGAGGTCAGCCCACCAGTGACCGTGAACGGAAAAGACTATCCTTTTGGAAGGATCATTATCGGAAATGCTTTCCCAACGTAAGGAGGAAGAAGGGGTTTGGATTTTCAGAACAATCTTATTTTCCAAAACATGGCCTTTTTTGGACCTCTCTGTGATCTTTGCTTATTTGGTTTGGGCACTGAATGAGGGGTTTCAGCTACAAAGAGACACTTGAGAAGTTAGGGCTTTTAATACTATTGCTGGGAAACTTAATGGTGAACCGATCGAGACCTTTAAGATTTTGATGGGATACAACAGGGCAAACAGTAATAGATTATTGCTATTGGTCTGTGTGGTAATATATATTAGAACAAATTTGTTACCTTTTGGAATGTGGAAATCTAGCTCAAGCCATCGGGTGAAGATTACTTCCCAACGTTGTTTAAAAGGGAATTAGATTGATGCTTAAGGAGGCACGGGAAGTGAAATTTTAATGATTAAAGATTCAAAATGTTTTTATTGCTGCAGGACTTATGGCGGGAGAAAGATGACAAAGGTGGTTCGGGAATTCCTGCACGCTCAGAAAGTGCAGTCACCGATTGAGCTCTACTCCGACTGGCTGGCGGTTGGTCATGTAGATGAATTCTTGAGCTTTGTTCCAGCCCCTGACAGAAAGGTAACCAATTGTGTTGTACCATATAACCAAAATAAGGCAGTGGTGGCCCATCATCAGGGACTAAACTCGCTCTACTTCACCGTGACGGAATCTCAATCTCCTCCATTGCCCACGATTGACTGAAATTCGGTCAATTCATAATAGATTCCATGTCATAAAACAATCTAAACTTATGAAATGTTATAAATTCCCTCTTCTCTTCCCCCCCCCCCCCCTCAATGAGTAACTTTGAAAATTAAGGATTGTTACATATTGGCACAGGTGGGAGCTTGGGTTGTAATGTAATACTTACATTTGGTAAAGAGGCTTTTACATCAGGAGGACAGCGTGTTAATGAGCTGTGAAATGGAGTGACTGTGTATTTGTGGATCAACAGAGCAGACAGTTTGTACACAACAATGTTCCACAAATGGCTATGAGTTGAATGACCGAATTTGTTGCATTGTTAGACACGACATTGTTCCTAACTGATAAGAAAGTGATGCCGTGTGTTGTGCAGGGCTTTCGACTTCTCCTGACCTGTCCTGACGCCTGCCTCAGGTTGTTCACAAAGCTGCAGCAAGAGGGTCACGGGGAGCTGAAGATGTTTGAAGGTGAGTGTCCAGCCTGACGCGTTACTTCAATAGTAGGCAGTGGTCCATGAACCACTTGCGCGGCGAATCCAATTCTCCCCATGTACAGAAGTAGGAAAGAGAATTTTTTTTTACAAAATAATAATAATTATCGTCCTTGCATTTGGTACAGTGCTCTGAGATGCTATCTTGCGTGACGTTTTTTTTTAAAATGCAAGGTGTCGTAGTGTCTTTCACGTTGGGAGGAAATCCCATGGGGCAAGAAATAGCGCGTTAATGAGATGATATTAATGGAGGTAGCCAAATCTGAAATTGAAGTGTTCCTTTCTGTCATTTAACCAGGTGTAAGCCCTAACACAATCAAAATTAATGAAATACTTGAGGATAAAAAAATAGTTGAAGATAATGCCTTTGTACAGGTAAGTGGCAATATCCAGTATTGATTAATCAATTTTGCTGTGGAAATTGCAGAATAAACATTACTTATTTATTTTCTGTTTCCCTTTTTGTATCTTATTTAAAAAATTGTCTGATTCCCTCTTTCTTTGTGTTCCCACCTCCCCGTTTCCCCTTCTCTTCCCCCAATGCATTTCTCCTGCCTCTCCCTCAACCTCTCTCTCCTTCCTTCTTCCCTTCCACACTTTCAGGAATGCGTTAATTGGAACCGCGATATCCTAAAGAGGGAATTGGGGTTAGACGAAGAAGACATTATTGATATTCCTGGATTGTTTTTCATGAAAAGTGGTCATGCAAAGGCGTACTTCCCAGATATGGTAAGTATAAAACTATTATATGATCCATTCCATTATCCCTGGGAATATCGTTGGGAATATCCCTGGGAAACCAATGACTTCTCAGAAATTTCAGTTATATTTAGGTATGATGTTTTACCCAATGCCAGTTTAACACAATGCAGTATGTCCTTACCTACTGTCTGTTTTGCACAGACGAATAATGGAGTGGAGTCCCGTAGCTCAGTGGTTAGAGCACTCGCCTTGCAAGTGAGAGACCTGGGTTTGATTCCCGGCAGTGTGAAACCTTGGGCAAGTTTCCTTACTCCACACCCCTGATAATAATTAATCAAGAAAATAACCAATAATAATTTGGTCACTCAATCCACGACTGTTTGTGGGACGCTGCTGTCCGCCAATGACTGCCGTATTTTGCCCACAAATATACAGTCAATTCATTTTACAGTATATTCTGTGAAGCGCTTTGAGACATCTAGAAGACGTGAAAAGCGCAATATCAAATGCAAGGATTATTATTATTGCTGACAACTGTAGTGAGTGTACAAGGTCCCACAAACAACATGGAGATGAATGATCAACTAATTTTTGGCCAGGACATACGGAGACAATTTTTGAGCAAACTTCGAGTAACTTTGTTTGGGGTGGGTGGGGGGGGGGGGTTGTCAGCTGGCCGGCTGACACACGCGGGAACCCGTGCTTAAGAGTATCCAAACCAAGCTGAGAATTCCATGCATCCCACCTACACATGGAAATTCCAGAGATAGATTGTTGGAATGGAATGCACTCTCTCCCTGGAGGGATGCATTCTGCTTGGCTAATTACGGAAGGTATTAGGCACAAGTTGGTAAGAGCCAAGGCTTGGGGACTTCAGAGTGTGTGTTGGGAGTAACTAAAAACACATAGCTTTGCAAGCTTTCCCGCGACTTGTCCAGCTAGGACCACCCTACCCATTAGGGCCCTGGCTCGCAGGCTTAACAGGAGCCAAGTGGGATAACTCCCTGCCCCCGTGACTGGTCTGCCCTTCCAAGTCCTGCCGATGAGCCAAGCTGCCTGTGCTGTCATCAACAGGGCCCTAGAATAGTGCGGACCCGCCAGGCTCAGGAACCAGACTACTGAGGCTGCCACAGAGGGCTGGCTCAATTCTGACTTTCTATTGCCAAGCATGTCACCTTGGAGCCAGTTCAGGAGATCTCTTCCTGTTCCTATGCTACTCTTTATTGATCCATTGATTCATCTTTTGGCTACTCTTTTTATTGGTTAATGTCTCTTTTCTACCTTGTCTTCATGTGTATCTTCCTCTTATTGTTCAGCGCTCCGAGACACTAGCCCATTTGAAGGGCGCTATATCAATGCAAATTGTTGTTCTTGTATTGTCTCCGCTGTTTTTTCTGGCTCTTTTCCATTTGCTGCTGTCAGCCATGAGTGAATAATGGCACCTCTTTCTTCCATCATCTCTTTAGGTCAACATGATTGTCCTCGACAAATACCTGGGCATTCCCAAGCCCTTTGGACCTCTGATCAATAAAAAATGTCCACTGGAATCTGCAGTACGCTCTTTGCTGGAACCACTCGGTCTGCATTGTTACTTCATTGATGACTTTTCTTCCTATCACCTGATGCTTGGTGAAGTTCACTGTGGTTCCAATGTCCGCCGTAAACCATTTCCTTTAAAGTGGTGGAACTTGAAGAAGTAATCACCACTTACTGTTTCCACGGTGAATCTAATTACCTTGGCCTGGAAATTCTGCATGTTGGTATTAATGAACTATATTTTTCCATCTATCCTGAATTGTTCTTACTAGGCGTTTGCCTTCTTCTAATTACTAACGCCTTCTCTGAGAATGTGTAGCCTCTGGTTTCAATGCACAATGTCACATGATGAGATACTGGACCCTGAATTTCTGGTTTCGGTCGGCAGTCTATTGTTTAAAAATGAAACCTGACTCCAGGCCTCAACATGACTCTGACCCTTTTGTTCCAGGTGTGACTCAAAGCTTTGGTTCATTGCTTATGAATGACGCATTGACACCTACCTTCCTGTAGTAGAGCACTTCAATTTCAGAGGCTGTTTTATTTGTTAAGGGCACCTTCTAAAGTTCACATTGTGTGAAATAGGAAGAGTATCAATTTATGCTACTTTTGCGGCTTCTCGGTAACAAGACTACAAAAGACAACATACTTGTTGTGAAAGCTTCACATCTTCTGTTATATAATGATCTTGACGCAATAAAGATTTGATTCAAATAATGACTGCTTTTTGGTTAACTGATTCTTGTCCTCACATTCAAATGCCTCCATGGGCTGTGATTTCCTGGGTACCTTACCCACCTTGGTCACTGCCTCCACTCTACCACTTCTGGACTGTTTCAGCCAGTAATACTGACAAACTACATTTACTCGAGACAGCACTAATAAGAAAGCATTGTGTCGGGTTAGCATAAACTACAGCAACGGAACTGTCCTGGGACAAGAAGTGTTGGTGCTCAGGAATACAATTTGTATTTTTTTCCCCTTCAATTGTCTTGTCTCCGAGAAGAGAAGAGGAATAACTCCTTTAGGAGGAAAAAGCTTTGGTCTTTTTTCTTTGCAGTGCTGACTTAGTCCACAGGATGGCATCAGACATCTACGTTAGCAGAGTCCTGGCAACATTGGCTGTGCCTTTGATGGCTTCATTCCGTAAATACTAATCTAATATTTCTCTGCGCAATGAGAATCATCACCTAATCCTCTGACGCAGAAACAGTTCTAATAAATGCTTTTGTAGGATCTGCAAAGTAAAACGTTCTATTTTAACTCTTATTTTTGTTATTTGGTAGCACTTTGAGACGTCTCGACGACGTGATAAGGAGCGATATCAGATGCAAGTATGATGATTGTCATCTGGGACCACTCAACCTCTTAGGACTGTGGCTTGCAGGGTTATTAAGGACTGAGTAGGACGGTTGTCAGTCCCTCTCAAAGTTAGCCCTAGGTCCCATTTGCACTCAGCCCTGCTCACACTTAGCCACATGTCTAGATTTTTTGCAGGGATATTTTAAAATTCCTGGGCACACCCATGTAACTCAGCACCTTTCAGGTATAGAAGCTGAGCTCAATTTCACACTGGGCTCTGCCTTTAACAATAGCCTTGTGTGTGTCTGTGTGTGTGTGGTAGAAAGGGAAGGAGTATATTGCATTTCGACTGCTAAATGAGGATAAAGGCGGGATTGTGGGATTATCACTTGCGCAGCACGTTGCTGGAGGTAGTTAGAGGAAAACACATTTATATTTACCTTTTTCTTCAGCATCAACTTGCGCTTATGGAACATCTTTCATGTTGAATTAACATCTCACAGCAAAATAATGGGGATTACTGACTGATCAGGGAGAGGAAGATCAGTTTGAGGATCTTGATCAAAGGCACAGCAATATGTCTAACCTGAAGACAAGGTTTGAAGATGATGATGTTTCGGGAAGAGTCGCAGAGAGCAGGGGAGCAATTGTTGCTGTAGGCTTGGCCACCAATGGAAGAGGTGAGGAATTAGCAGGAGACTAGGATTGGAAGAGCAGAGGGCATGGACAGGACTTTGCTGTACATACTCACTCATGCACATTCACAGATACTCAATCCACTAGTCTGGGTATGTCTTCCTGGAGTCGCTTACAGTCCTCTTCAAGGTCAGACTTTGAATTCATAGTCCAGGCTGAAACTACAATACAGTGCTGGGGGTATATCTCAAAAGGTGCCGTCCTTTGAATGAAACATTAAATCAAGGCTCCGTCACTTGTTCAGTGTTTGTGGGGAGATCCTGTATGTAAATTGGTTGCTGTATTCACTCACAAAGATGCAGTCACTACATTTCACAATAAATCCCACAAAGTGCTTTGAGACGTCCTCCCACCATGAAAGATGCCACATGAAATGTAAGGACGGTTATTTTCATTGCTATTGAGGCTTAGATGATACACATTAAAAGGAAATTGTATAAGTCTTTGAAAAGAAACTATAAAGAGGATAAGGGAATGATCTAGAAATTGCGGATGATAGTTCAAATGAATGCAATTAACCCAGCTTAATGGGCTGGATGGCCTTTTCTTGAACTGCCATTTCTATGATTCTGTGTTATTAGCAGATAAAACAAACTCCGATACCAATCGACATTCCTCGGGACGGCCCATTGTAGACTCTCGTGTTGTCGGTGCTGGCTAAACCTGAGAACTGTTAAAATGTTCACGGCAGTGACTTGTCTCAGCCTCTCCCGGAACCTTCATGTTGCCTTCGGTTGGTTGATTGATGATCTCTTTGAGGAGGTAAGTATGTGATAGTTGTGTTTTGCACAAAAAATTGCTTCAAGGTCCAGCTATTCACTTCTTTGCAGGTCACAGAATATAACAGGAGACACAACCTGATAGATGCTTTTCATTGATAGCTTTTGCTCAAACTAAGGATAACAGATAGGATTTTACCCATCAAAGGCTAATGCTTCTTTCCAGTTAAAAGTTAACCTTATCTTCTTTCCTCTTCAAATAAATTACGTATCTACACCACCCAACTGTGTCAATCCTGGCTCGGTTGGTAGCACACTTGCCCCTGGGTCAGAAGGTTGTGGGTTCAAACCCCACATTGAGCTCTTCACTGTTGGATGCGCAGCCCCTTCAGATGAGACGTTAAACCGATGTTGTGTCTCTGCTCTTTCAGTGGACATTAAAGATCCCTCAACTATTCAAAAAGAGAACAGTGTCTCTCTCAATGTCCTGGCCAACTATCACTTCACGGCTGGGTCTGGCACCTTATGCACAAACTGGCTGCCATTTTTGCCCACAGAAAACAGTGATTACACCTGACAATAATTACTATAAAGTGCTTTGGGAGGTGTCACTCTAATTTGGTACTTATAAAAATGGCCCCTTCTGCACGGAAGAGGCCATTGGGCCGATTGTTTCTCTGCACCGTAGCACTGCACAAAACCCGGGAATAAACTCACCTTTCATTTCTGACAGAGGCACCCCACCCCCCCCCCACCACCCCCCAGGACCTGGCTTCAGCATGACATTTACAATTCTGCACCTTAATGAATAACGAGGCATTAAACTGACCCATGTAGATGAAAAACAACAGCTTATTATTTGAAAAGGTGAAAAATACAGCCATTAATCTCCTGACAAAGCATCACCTGGTTCTACTATGTGACTGGGTTTTGAAATTCTGCAGAGATATTTAATCCCAAGTGACTGCTGAATAAATAAACAGGTTCACTTCGTCATCTTGAGAAATTCAGAGCTCAGTGCTCAAAATATACAGTCAATCCACTTTACAGTGTATCCTATGAAGCGCTTTGAGACATCTCGAAGACATGATAAGGCGCTATATCAAATGTAAGGATTATTATTATGGCTATTTGGGACCGCCTTGTGTTCAAAATGGCCAACAGTATTTGGACATTTGACAGTAACTACTTTAATGTAAGACTTCATAAGGATCTGTAAAAGTGCTGGTCTCTTGCTAGAAAATTATTTGGGGAGAACAAGTTTGCAGTGCCATGGAGAGAGCGCGGGGGGAATGGGATTGATTTGGAAAAGCTCTTTTCAAAGAGCCAGCACAGACGCGATGGGCCGAATGGCCTCCCTTCTGTGTTGTAAAATTCTATGGTTCTTTTTTCTATCTATATCGTGAAGCAGCTTCAAAGGCAGAGTGAGTGAATGATCACCTGCTGAAGCAGAGATGTTGGAGTGTGTATGATTCTGGGCTTGTGCCTTGGCACTGGACCGCACGCTCTGTGCTCTCAGCCACCACCAGCTTCTGTTCAGTGACTCCTCTCTCCTTGTAACGCTTGCCTCTGGCAGGCACCTTGATGCTTTATCACCAAATGTATCAAATAAAAAAAGTCCTGTCAACGTCTAAGAATTAAATCACAGTGGAATATGAGCTACTGTGGAGAAAAACACAGATGAAAGGAAACATCTTAAACATCTTAATTTCTCCCTTGCCACCCACTCCCGAAAACGCCAACCATCTTTGGATTCCGTGCTCAATGTCTCTTGTGCGCTCACAGGTACGGAGAGCTGAGAGCCTGGTGGGGTTGGGGGTGAGGGGGAGGAGAATTACGCCACACGCCCTTCTATCGTTATGCAACACCCCCTAGAAATTTACCGCACAGGAGAAGGCCATTCATTCCATCGTGTCTGAGCTTTGTTACTCCATGTCAGAAGGTTGTGGGTTTAAACTCCATGTTGGTAACGGTATTAATACTTGCATTTGATACAGTGCCTTATGTCACACTGACGTATTTAATCCTGTGGAATATTTAATGCCACCTGAACAGGCAGAGAGAACCTTGGTTTAACTGTCTTATCTAAAGGACAGTATCTCTGACTGTGCAGTTGGTGTATCAGTCTGGACTACACTCAAAGTTTCCGACAGATGGCTTGAACCCCTATCCTTCTGACTCAGTGGTGAGCGCTACCAACTGAGACAGGCTGACACCATACGATCACAGGCTAGGCTGACACTCCAATTCGGTATTCAAGGGAGCACTACATTGTTGGATGTGCCGTCCTTTTTTGACGAGTCATTAAACTGAGGTCCTCAATGACACTGAGAAGAGAAAGGTTTCCTGCCCAATAATTCTCCATATAAATTGGTCAGTCTTACCAAGGCTGTTTCTGGGAACTTTGTTCTGTGCCTACCAAAACAATTGCTAACTCGACAGTGATTATCATGAAATGCTTTTGAGTTGTTTTAATGTGATGTGTGGCTTTTAAAGTATAAGATTGTGCAGAATTTGGGAAAATAATTAATTTTCAGTCTTAGTTTGGAAGCCTCTTTATCTGAGATCTGTGATTTATTCTCGAATTCTGCGCAATCTTGAATTTTGGGGCAATGGTCTGAAGGCTACAACTAAGGAATTTCGTTAACTGAGGGCATTAAGCTGAAGCTGGCCAGCTTAGTCAGTTCATCAGCATCAACCTGGTCAGCGCGTGATGTGTCCAAGACAGTGATTCCTGGCATGGGGCCTGGTTGTCCTTAGTAACCATTAAATATTTGAAATAGTTATGAACTTTTGATCCTCGGTGCACCTATTTAACGCATTAGGAATTTCAGTTATTTTCATAACTTCATTGAGGCTGCAATAGTACAGAAAGGCTTAATATGGTTCGCCTCCACCCAAACCTGTGCTCAGCACAGAGTCTCTGCATTGCAGGGCACTCAAACCTGCTCCTGACCTGCCTAGAGCTCAGCACTGATAACTCCATCTCTCACGCTTGCC